CAATGGAGGAGCATTCCCCTTGCTCTACATCTTTTCCAGCATGAGCTGTCAGTTTTGTTATTGATCTTAGCCATTCTGACAGGTGTAAGATGGAATCTCAAAGTAGTTTTGATTTGCATTTCCCTGTGGGCTAAGGATGTTGAACATTTCTTTAAGCGTTTCTCAGCCATTTGAGATTCCTCTATTAAGAATTCTCTGTTTAGGTTTGTACCCATTTTTCAATTGGATTATTTTTTTATAACTAATTTCTTGAGTTCTTTACATAGTTTGGATATTTGGCCTCTATCGGATGTAGAATTGACAACAATCCTTTCCCATTCTGTAGGCCGCCTCTTTGTCTGATTGATGGTACCTTACACAAGCTTTTCAGTTTCATGAGGTCCCATTTATTAATTATTGATCTTAGTGCCTGCACTACAACTTTACTTTCTTTGACCTCACTTCCTGTCAACTGCCTGGCCTTTCTCTTTTGTGTTACAGACACTAGAAAGAGTTGTATATCTGCTTGAACTTTGGTGTTTTAAGCTCATGTCAGTAAGAATTTGTCACCTCTTGTGGCTAAAACTTGTGACCTTCATCCCAATGTCCAGTTTAGAGTTTCCTGCTGGTGTATCTCACCCACTGACCACCTCTTCCCTTTGCATACACCCATCCCCTGGCCCCCTCCCACTTTGCTGTGTCTCCTCCCCATCCTCTCGGTTAAGCATCATCCCTCTGCTCTGCAAGTTGCTTTCGCCTTGAAGTGCCCAGGGCCTCGCCCTTGTTCCTCACTCTACTTCTGCCTGCCCGCAGACTTATTCTTAATCCACCTTACACTTATGACTCCTGCAATAGTTAATACAGATTTTGAACTTGACTAAGGTCCTGGAACTTGAAGTCACTGCCAGGCTTGCTAGGATTGGAAGCCCTGTCATCAGAGTATCTGTCATCAGTGTCCATCTCTGACTCTGACTCCAATGCAACATGCAAATCCTGTATGACATTCACATGCATGAGATTCTTCACTTTTCCAGATGCTCCTAACACTTTACACATCTTTCACCATTGCTTTGTAAACACTTTTGTTAGGGCAGCAAGCTGACTCAGCAAGAAAAGACATTTTCCAACAAGCCTGACAACCCAAGTTTGATTCCTGGGACCCACATGGACCCACATGAAAGAACTGACTCCTACAAGTTGTCCTCTGGCTTCCACACACACACATGCATGGCACACAGGTACCTATACAATACTGTTTTGCATCTATACAACTTTAAAACTCCCTTCTCTGTTACATTAAATATACACACACAAAATAAATCAATTAATGTTAAAAAATCTTGACTATGAACTTAACAGGATCTAGATTCACCATACCTCTGGGTATGCCTATAAAGGTGCGTCTTGATTGTTAATTGAAGTGGAAAGCCCCTATGCAAGTGTGATTGGAACCATCCCATGGGCTGGAGTCCTGGACTGAATTAAAACAGAAGCTAGCTGAGCACCAGCATCTCCCTCTCTGTCCTGAGGGTACAATTGGACCAAAGCCTCCTCCTCCATCACCATGATCTCTCCACCCGGGCCCTGTGAGCTGAACCAACCCATTCTAAGTTGCTTTTGCCAGGTACTCTGTCACAGCAGTGAGAAGAGAAACCAACAGGACTCCCAAATCCACGCACAGCCTCCAGGAGTCCAGGCTCACTCTCCAGTGGCACCCGCCGCCTGCTTGGCCTTCCCACTGGGATGCTGAATGCATGCCTCACATTGGCCTGAATGTTAAGCTTCCCATAAAACCAAGACTTCTCATCTCTGTGGACCACGACTCCATCTGCCACGTGGAAAAGCCCTAGTGTCAACCCAGATTCCTGTCATCTTCCCATATCCTTGTCCTATTCATCAGTAAATCTGTTAAGTCCATCCTCAAGCTAAACTGGACATCCTGTTCACTGTCATCTCATTACTCCCTTTGCCAGGGTACAATCCCTACTCATCATTTCTCTCCAGGATTACTATGATGACTTCTAACTGGCAGCACTTAGGGGGAAGAGAGAGACAGATCTCCATGAGTTCCAGGCCAGTGTACTGCATATAGTGAGGCCATCTTAAAAAAAAAAAAAAAAAGAAGACAGGATCTAAGGGTAAACTGGGACAGCTGCCAGCAGTGTTTAATTGAAAAAAAGATTACACCTTTTACACTCTATAGTTACACATAGGATTAAAGGGGAGACAAGGGGCGTGTGAGCTGGGGTGTGGCTTGAGATCAGGGGTAGAGGAATCTAGCATTGATCTTGACAATAGGCACCAGTCATGTGTTAATGGAAGGACCACAAGCTCCTCTTGCCAGAGATAAGGAGAATGACTGCCTTATAAAGCAGGAACTTTCCTCAAGCCCCCAAGGGAATGGAGACCCTTTCCAAATGTTTGACCTTGGGAAAAGGACTTCTTCTGGGGAGCAGACACTATACTACAGTTTCTTAGTCTTACTATATGGGCCTGTTCCCCTCATAAGGATCCCAAAAGGGAAGGTCCTGATGTTTTACTCTTTTCCCATTATACTGTACCATTCTGATTTCTCTGTATTTATTACCTGAACTCTTGCCCTTAATGGCCTCAGGCTCTGGAACTGAACTGTAGGCATTTCATCCTTGGGATCAGGTGTGTCTAGTAAATCTCTAACTTTTCCTGTTCTTGGTGTAATTAGGAGAGCATAACGGAATTTCTAGTTCCACAGTGGCAGGGATTTTTTTCCAAATAATTATTTTGTTTAGAGAGGCTACCATTGTAAACATTTTTATCCTTTACCAAAGCCCACACAAAATTTCCCAAAGGGAAAATCAATAAAAATAAAAGTAAAGCTGGGTGGTGGTGGCGCACGCCTTTAAGCCCAGCACTTGGGAGGTAGAGGTAGGCGAATCTTTGTGAATTCAAGACCAGCCTGGTCTACAGAGCTAATTCCAGGGGCAGCTAGGGCTGTTAGACAGAGAAACCCTGTCTCGAGAAAAAAAGAAAGGAAGAAAGAAAGAAAGAAAGAAAGAAAGAAAGAAAGAAAGAAAGAAAGAAAAAGAAAGAAAGAAAGAAGAAAGAAGAAAGAAAGGAGAAAGAAAGAAAATAAAAAGGTGCAGGAGAAGGGGTCTGCCATGTTGAAATGCTGGAACTCTGTGAAGCAGCAAAGGTTACCATGCGGTCCACGCCAGGTACATCCTTGTTAAAAACTCCAAAGCCTCAGTCATGGAGTGGCACAGCTTTTCTGCACCATGAAGTTTAGAGGGATGCGAAGTCTTCCTCAGGTCCAAGTGTGACTATTGACAGCGTGTGCAAAAAATGTCCACCACAGCCCCCGCTCCATGCTTAAGGCCTGAAGACTGTTCCCCCATAGAAACTGTTCCAGCTGAGTGAGATCAGCTAAACCTGCCTCCTTTCCAGCTGTGTATGATAACCCTGCCTCACTGTCTAACTGTATACAGTAAACACACTGAGCTTCCAGAGTGCTGTTGCTACTCCATCAGAGCTACCAAAGACCACCCAATCCCAGCTTTTCTGTGTCAATGCATCTGTGTGTCTGTCCTTTCTGCATTCTCTTGTCAGCTCTAGTCAGGGTTCTAGGACTCGGGCCATGCAAAGATGCAGAACCGTTCTTTTATATTGCTTTGTCACAGTATTTTATCACAAGTGACTAATATGAGTAACCCTATCTCTGACCACATAGAAAAGTCAAAACAAATTTGATGGGAGTGTGAGACCCCAAATTAGAATGCCACTTGTTGAGGACATGCTTTATGACATTCAACTACTCAAAGATCTGGTGACTAAGACTCTGAAAAGTACAGGCCAGCCGGGCGGTGGTGGCGCACGCCTTTAATCCCAGCACTCGGGAGGCAGAGCCAGGCGAATCTCTGTGAGTTCGAGGCCAGCTTGGTCTTCAAAGCGAGTTCCAGGAAAGGCGCAAAGCTACACAGAGAAACCCTGTCTCAAAAAAAAAAAACAAAAAACAAAAAACAAAAAACAAAAAAAAACAAAAAAAAAAAAGTACAGGCCATAAAAGTAAAAATGGAGGATGAGATTGCATCAAACTAAAAGCTCCTGCAGAGCAAAAGAAACAGTCAACAAAGCAGAGAGAGGACTCACAGAATTCGAGAAAATGTTTGCAAATATATATCTGACAAGGGGTTAATATCCAGAACACATAAGAGACTCAACAAACAACAAGAAAAAAGTTCAATTAAAAAAGAGTCAGAAGACATGAATACACATTTTTCAGGAGAAAATACAAACGGCCAGTGGTACACGCAAATGTCTCAGCACCCCTCCTCATTAAAGGATGCAAATCCAAGCCCCGTTAGGTGCCTTCTCGCTCCACTAAGACAGCCACGTCTGTCTTCTATGGCCAAGAATGTAAATAGATGCTAGAAAATAGTATCACGGTTCTTCAAAAATTTCAAGTAGAGTAACTCCCTATGGCCCAGCAATCCCACCACTGACAGACAATGTGCCTAAAGGAAATGAAGTCAGTATGTTGAAGAGACCCGTGCACTCTCATCTGTACTCTGGCACTAACAACATCCATGTATCAATCTAGTACAGCTGAATGGATAATGGAAATGTAGTGCATGCACACAGGGGAATCATGGTCAGCCAATGAAAGATGAAATCCCATCACTTGTAAACAACATGGATGAATCTAAAGGCCATTATGCTAACTGAAATGAACCAGTCACAGACAGATAGAGGCCATAGCATCTCACACAAGCGAAATTCAAAAAGAGTGGATCTCCGAGAAGTGCAGAGTGGAATGGTGGTGGCCACAAGACGCACAAGGGCCAGAAGAGAGCACCAGACCCCCGGGAGCCTGTTACAGGGGGTTGGGAGCGGCCTGGCCTGGGTGCTGAGAACGAAACAGGTCCTCGGCAAGAGCAGTGAGCACTCTTAATCACTGAGCCAACAGTAGCATTTCATATGTTTTTAGAGAAATTGGAGACCACTGTCTCTCTGGAATTTATTTAATATTTTTTACTCCTTTCTAGGTCACCTGCAATGGCAGGACAAATTTTTGCGATAGACAGACATTATTTTAATGAACTTGGACAGTATGACAAGGACATGGATCTTTGGGGAGGAGAAAATGTGGAACTTTCACTAAGAGTAAGTGGGACTTCCATTTGTTTTGCCCTGTTCCCCATGTAGTTACGTGTGTTTGGAGGGAGACCTGAGGCTTGACTCTGTGGTGGTGAGTGGGACCAGTTTGGTGCGTACTGGGCTGGTGCTCTTCTCTACTCTGAGCACCAGTGCAATCTGACTTTTCATCTGGTCACATTATTTCCTCCATGAGCATGCAGGACTGTTCTGGTGACACATGCAAGGGCATGCAACAGATGATGGGGCTCCCTGGAAACCCCGATGGGCCATGAAAGCCCCTGACCTTATGCTTTGTTGTTTTCAAAGCATGCTGCGGTAAACTAACAAGACAGTTAAATCTCTGCGGGCTCTCTAACTGTCCTCATAGTTCTATCCCCTCCCTTTTTCGTTTGGAATTTTATATCCCTCCCTCCTTCCCTTCTTTCTTTCTTCCTGGTAGCTGGCCATTTTAGTCATTGTATGCATGAAGAGGTATCAATCTCAGATATCATTCCTTAGGTGTCGTCCACCTTATTTTTTGAGAAAGTCTCTCACTAGCCTAGAACTTGCTGGTTAGGCTGGTGGGCCAGCAAGTCCAAGGAATCCTCTCATCTCTACCTCCTCAGTGTGGAGATTACAAGTGTGCATCACCACACCCAACTGCTTCTTTTTACAGTGGGTTCTGGGGATCGAATCTGATCCTCATGGTTACGTGGCAAGTGCTTCATTGCCTGAGTCCTCTTGCCGGCCCTGTCTTATGCTTTATCCATTTTTGTCCTTTTCAGCACAGACTTCCTTCACAGGCTTATTGTGTATACGCAGGTGTCTCAGCAATGCTTCTCCTGCAAGCTCCTACTTGGAACCATCTCACACATTCATTAATTTCATCCCCCACCCATTCATGCGCTCCCTTCTGACCTGGGTAGTGTTTTATAATACCCAGGCCTCTGGCTCTTTTTATTACATTTGGTTGGCAATCCCTTGTTTTATTACATTGCTCTCTAGGAATACTGCCCAATAAATTTTATTTGTTTTTTATTTTTATTTTTTTTTGAGACAGGGTTTCTCTGTGTAACTTGGGAGCCTGTCCTGGATCTCGCTCTGTAGACCAGGATGGCCTCGAACTCACAGAGATCCACCTGCCTCTGCCTCCCGAGTGCTGGGGTTAAAGGCGTGCACCACCACTGCCCGGCTCTGCCCAATAAATTTTCCTCTCTTAGGACTTAACTATAAGCACATTCTGTATCTCAGAATAGAACCACTTTTTGTGAAGGTATGTGTATTTGAAAGCAAGTGTAGGGGCCATTGAAATGATTCTGTGGGCAAAAGTGCCTGCTGTTAGCTGCCAAGTCTGAGGATCTGAGCTCAATCAACTTCCAAAAATTGTCCTCTGACCTCTACATGTGAGCTGGGCCATTCACCATACGTGAGTGCATTCTCTCTCTCTCTCTCTCTCTCTCTCTCTCTCTCTCTCTCTCTCTCTCTCTCTCTCTCTCCTCTCTCTCTCAATAAAATTTAAAATATAATGAAAGGCTAATGTGTCCCATTTCTGGTCCTACAGTCCTCACAGACAGTAAAGGACAGCTAACTTCCTGCCCAATATTTCCAATGATTCTATTCCCAATGGCTGCTTTGAATCTCTGAAGTACGCTTGGGTCTCTCTTTGTATAAACAAGCATGTGAATTAGTAACTAGTTTAAGTACTCTCTTGACACTAGCCATTGAAAACAAAATAACCATTTTAAACTGGGCATGTGCCACCATGCCTTTAATCTAAGCACTCGGGAGGCAGAGGCCTGCAGATCTCTGTGAGCTCAAGGTTAGTCTGTTCTACAGAGCAAGTTTCAGGAGAGCAAGGGCTACACAGAGAAACCCTGTCTTGAAAACTTAAACAAAAAACTCTAAAAGGTTATACCTACAAATGGTTCCTGTGGCTGACACATACCCATCTGAGTCTACAGCTGAAGTCTGCAGTCAGCTGGAGACTATCTCTTGAGGGATCTACTGAAGTTCAATTCAATTCCGCCAACACTGAAGGAGTTCAACCTCCGAGTCAAGCTGTGCTGCAGGCCAAGCACTCAGAGGCCAGTCCTCCCTCCTTTTTCATTCGTGCGGCCATGTTTCCTGAGGACCTGAGGACCAATTAGTTACTTTTCCCACGCTAGGACAAAATACTTGAGGAAAGCAACTTAAGGAAGGGTTTATTTGGGCTCCTGGTTTGAGAACAGGGTCCACCCGGTGGGAAGGACTTGCAGGGCTGGTCACATTGTAGCCATGCTCAGAAGGCAGAGAGAGAGGGGAAAGCTGTTGCTCAGCACACTTCCTTTTTTCTATGCTGTCCAGGGCCCCTGTCCATGGAATGGTGCTGCCCACTGTTAGCCAGGGTCTTCCTACCTCAATGAAGCCAGTCTAGAAACTTCCCCGACAGGCATGTTGTTTGTCTCCTGACTGATTACAGATCCTGCCAAGTTCACACCAAATTAACCATCAAAGGACACAGGACAGTGCTACAATGCAGCAGTACACAGTGTAAAAGTAGCTTCTGATGTCATGGCCTTCCATCTCATCAGGGAACCAGTTATTTAATTTTACTTTTGATTAGACACAGTGGAGAAGCACAGATTACTCTGTGGTTATATAGAAGGGGAACTGAGCCATCTTTTTTTTTGAGGTGTCATCCACAACATTCCTGAAGTAGTAGCACTTGAGATGTAAAGGATTAATATGTGTGGTTTGTTGAACAGATTCCTATGCCTAAGTCCCACTGCTGAAAAATTTTCCAGACATTAATTTACTTAACCTCTACAGGCCTGTAGGGTGGGTACTGCCCTTATCTCTTACTTTTAATGAGAAAACAAAGACACAGAAAACTTACTTTCCAAGTTGACAAAAACAGTAAGTACTATGCTCCAAACCCATTTTTTCCTGCCTCTTAGAAAGCCTCCCTTTCCAGTCCTGGGGCCCTGCAAGCACATCTCCACTGTCTCTCAGTCAGTTCTAGCAGACATGTGTGAGAGAAGCCACCAACGCCCTGAGTTTGCTTTGGTTGCTGAGTTCAGTGGCTGCCATGGATCATGGAGAGGAATAGTACACTGGATAGCCATGCAGCTATGCTTCACACCTAGCCTTTGAATGGTTCCCATAACCAGCTTCAGATTTTTGTGGCTTAACAATCCTGGTTGGCATCCAACAGGCCTTGACCACCTAAAGTCTTAGCTTGCCTATTTTCCAGTACCTGTTCTCCATCCTGGCATCTCACCATACTGCCAATGTGTGCTACTCCAAAAACTGAGACCTTGACTTCTGCTTTTAAGGATGACCACGTAGGGAATCCTATTTCCCAGCCTTACCCCAAGACTGAACCTCTTTTTTTTGTTGTTGTTGTTTTGTTTTGTTTTGTTTTTCTCTGTGTAGCTCTGGCTGTCCTGGATCTCACTCTGTAGACCAGGCTGGCTTTGAACTTGGAGATATATCTGCCTCTACTTTCCGAGTACTGAGATTAAAGGTATGTGTCACCATGGCCCAGCTTAAGACTGCACCTCTTTAGATATAGATGCCAGCTTAAATCCTGCTCAAGATCACTAAGCCCATTGGATGCTCTGATATGGAAACAAACCATGTATCTACTAGAGTTCTCATACAGTGACATAATGGAGCCTCAGCAGATTTCTAACACCCTCCTCCATGGCCCATCTATCCACTGAGTTAATGGCTTACTCTTCTTGGGTCATCTGCTCAGAATTTTAATTACTAAGGATATTAGGGATTAGTCAGCTATTACCTCAGTATCTGTCAGTTATTACCACCGTTATGCTGTGTAACGAAGTACCTCAAAGATGAATGGTGTAAAATAGTAACACTTACCTTTCTCTTGCTCCTGTCCATGGTAGCTGGGATGACTCAACAGAGGCTGACTGGGTTGGGCTTTAGTTTCTGGTTTTAGTTGAGGTCTGGCATTATTTCCACGAGTAGCTGCCATATGGAACATGTTCTTCTCACACTGAATGGCAGGAAGATAAAGGTCGAGCCAAAAGACATGGCATATTCCACCTTCTGTAGTCATGTGGGCTGACATTCCACCTTCTGCAGTCATGATGTGGGCTGACATTCTCTTGGCCAAAGCCTGTGAGAAACAAGTCCAGAATCAGTGTGTCCTCAGACCCAAGATGAGGGAAGGGGAATGAGCAAATGTTTACTGACCAGAATTTGAATCTATCACTCTGGGTTTGTGGAATGAACAACCAAGTCAATGTAAAATGGATGTAAATGAAACCCATGTTAGGAGAGCAGTGCTGCACTGTATATCAGTTAATTGTTGTCAGTAAATTTTAACTTATGTGGAAAAAAAATGCCTCAAAACGCAGTAGCTTAAAACCACAAGCAATTATTATTCCTCTTAATTTTTGGTGTTACTACAGTAGAGCTGGTCTTGGCTAGAATGTCTGATTTCTACAGATGTTGCTGCATCTGTGTTCACTTGGAGCCCATCCAGAATGTCTTCTGCCACATGACTGGCTCAGTACCACCTCGGGCAATGAGAACCATTTGGCCATTTGTCAAGCAGGCTGGCCCAGGCTCACTGATACTGAAGAGGTCACAATGTTCACAAATGTTACAAGAGGGGTCAAGATCTAGGAAGCTGCAAGCACTTTTCAAGCATCATGCATTCTGGGCAAGCACTCTCCCACCTGATTTCATCCCTAGTTCTGCTTCTTGTTTACTCTAGATTTGTTCTTAAAGGAGACACATCCATCTGGATATATCCTCTCCTGTATTCATTGTAGGGATGGCCACAACTATTCCTCTTATCTCCTACTTTATAATCCTGTCAGTAGTGGGGTATGTTCATTAGGGATAAAGGGAATCTGTGACCAGCCTAGTGATGTGGCTCAGTTGGTAGAGTGTTTGCCTAACATGCACAAAGTCCTGGGTTCAACCCCAACCCTACATAAAACCCGGCATGGTGGAACATGCCTGGTAATCCCTGTATCTCTGGCAGGAGGATCAGAAGTTCAAGGACATCTTTGACTAAATATGAAATTCAAGGCCAGCCTGGGCTACACAAAACTCTGACTTAGGGAAAATAGATGGGGTGTGGGCAGAAATTCACAGAATGTCTATTTCTACCTCCAGAGTGCTAGAATTACAGTTGTGGACAACCAAGGCCAGTGTATGTAGTTCTGGGGGTTGAACCCAGGACTTTGGGCATGCCAGACAAATACTATACCAATAGATCCATATTCCCAGCCCCACACAGCATGTTTCAGTGAAAATCTTAACTTCCCATTACTGTTTTATAATGATTAAGTGAATTTGCTCAAAAAATATCTGCAAATCAGAATTTATGGTCTTGATGAGTTAGAACTGAGGATCATCAAATCTGAGTGTGCAGTTGAATCACATAAAAAGCACAAGGTTGGGCCCAAACCACAGTTTCTGCAGCAGTAGGTGTCAGGGACCCATGGGTTCTCATTTTTATCAAGTCTCGGGGCAATGCTGGTGTTACTGGGGTCCAGGAAACAGAATGGCTGCAGCAAATACACCCTATGGGGGCTGTGAGGTAGCTCAGTGGATGAAGGAAGGCATTTACCACTAACCCTGAGATCCACACAGGAGCAAGTCCTGCAGCTCCTCTGACCGCCACATACACACTACGGCATGTGCACCACCCCCCAAATAAACAGATGCAAATTTGAAGATTAATTTGTGTGAGTGTGTACATGAGGTGAGGTATGCATTGCCACAGAATATGTATGGAGGTCAGAGAACAACCTACAAGGGTCAGTTCCCTCCCTGCTCTATGGGGTCCTAGGATCAAACTCAGGTAGTCAGGCTTGGTGGCAGGCACCCCTCCTCACTAAGCCATCTTGCCAGCCCCTCTGTGGTATCTTTTACAGTGATGAAATGGAAACTCCTAAAATTTCCAAACAAGATTTTTGGTTTTTGATGTGTGTGTATACATAAGTGTGCAGGCACATGTCTATGCATTCGGAGGCCAGGAGGATGTCAGGGGCACTCCTCTGTCATGCTTCACCTTTATTCCCTTGAGACAGGTCTTTCTCTGAACCTGAAGTTCACTATTTTTCTGCTAGGCTGGCATCCACTAAACCCCAGTGAGCCTCCTGTCTTTGTCTCCCAACTCTTCCAGCACTGGGGTTACAGGTATGTGCCGTCATGTCCAGCTTTTTGTATGGATACCAGGAGTCCAACTCAGGTCCTTGATCTTGTGGGAAGTGCTTTTAACCCATTGAGCCATGTTTCTAGCCCAAGGCCCTTAAGACAGTTTTTCATAATTTACATGAAGACAGTAAGTAAAAAAAATGTGTATTTTTGCATGTCCACACACATACTTGAATTTTATTGACTGGCCCCAAGTGTTAGGGTGTACATTTTCCTATATTTGATAATTCTCAATGACCATATCTTGCTTTCATGCAGTGAAGTTATTACAATATATGTTGTGCAGCATTTTATGTATAAACTACAAATAACTGAACCCAGCCAGAACCTGTCTTTCTCTTGGTATTGCTTACACCTGGCAATAAGCAGCGGGAAAGAAAGAGAATTATTTGCGACTCAGAACTCAAGTTCTCAGGCTAGATTTCCTAAATTTGAACCTCAGCTCAGCCACTCAATTGTTCCACATCACTGGGCAAACTTCTTAATCAAACTGTATGTTAATTTTTTATCTGTAAATGGAGGGGGTGGTCATAGCACCTATACTATAGGACTCTGATGAGTTTATGGAATTTATTACATAAAATAAACGGAATACATATTAGAGCCTGGGACTAGTAGTATAGCTCAGCTGGAAGAACGCCTGCCTCGTATGAACAAAGCCCTGGACTGAACCCCAACATGGTATAAACCAAGTGTGGTGGTGCACCACTGTAATCCCAGCACTAGGGAGGTAGAGGCAGGAGGACCAGAAACTCAGTGTCATTCCTAAAGAGTGGGTTTGAGGCCAACCTGGGCTACACATCTCAATAAGCAGCCAAACCTAAAATTCAAACCTAAAACAATACATTAGCTATTTATACATGTATTTGTGTGTATGTTTATGTGTTCATAAGCAGCTGCCAGTTACTAGTAAAGTAATTAGTTACGGTCTTGTCTAGATTTGGATGTGTGGAGGCCAACTCTTTATAATTCCTTGCTCTCGGGTTGGACATGTCACCAAGACACATAGTTCCAATGACCCTGCATTCAAGAAAGCCTTGTCACGGAACTTACTGCGAGTGGTTCACACCTGGCTGGATGGATACAAGGTGAGTGGTGCCTCTGGCTGGGGAGAGCAGGTTCTGGGATGTTCTCAAGACTCTGCCACCTTTCCAGATCCAAACTGCAGTCTTCCCTGGTTTTTGTAAGTTAATGGAGCCCCTTCAATGTCTCCCCGATTCATCACCAGTCTGGCTCTCACTGGTTGACCCTAAGCAGCCGTGCTTGCAATGTATTGTTTTAGGTTTGAATTTTAGGAAAAGTCAAGTTTCTCAGAAGTAAGTCAACCTGCAGTCTTTCCCCACGGCTAGATCTGCTTATCCACTGAGGAATTACTCTTCCCTCCCTGCTGCAGCAGCATCAGGAGCTGACTGATGTCCTCAGGGTTTCCTACTAAGCTATTGTCAGTTTCCTGGGAGATGTGGCTGGTGCAGGTCGTGTGCACACATGAGAACTCCTTTTCTATTAACAAGCAAACGTTTCTATGGGAAAGCTTTGCCCCTTGCTTTATGTATGTCCCCAAGGGTTACACCCTGTTCTCCAAGAGCACATCTCTGTCCAGATACCATGCATAAAGAAATAAGGACAGGCCTCCTTCAGACAAATGCACAGTGTATCTCTGACAGTGTCCTTCACCTTGGCTCTGTCCAAGTTTGCTTTTCTGTGCTGTGATACAACACTGGCCAAGAGCAATCTGGAAGAGTTATTTCCCTTATACTTCCACATCACAGACCGTTATCCAGAGATGTCAAGGCACGAACTCAAGCAGAGCCCACAAAGGAGAACTGCTTACTGGCTTGCTCTCCATGGCTTCTTCAACATGATTTCTTATACAGCTCAGGACCACCTGCCCAGGGATGGCACCACCCTCAGTAGGCTGGACCTTCCTATAACAGTACTCAGGAAAATGCCCGACATGTCAATCTGATGGAGGCAATTGCTGTTTGGAGTCTCTCTTCCCAGGTGACTCCAGTTTGTGTCAAGGTGAGAAAAAAATAATCAGCAGGTTTTTTTTTAATTCAAGCTTTTTAATTATTGTAAAAATGAGATTTTTTTAAAAAAATAATCAGGGAACTGCCAGGGAATTCCTGCTGAGGCAGAAGGATTACAAGTTCAAGCCAGCCAAGGCAACTTAAGTCAGATCCTGTCTCAAAAACAGAGCAGAATGATGGGGCTAAAGAGGTGGCTGAGAGGTTAAGATCATATACTGCTCTAGTAGACCTGAGTTCAGTTCTCAGTACCCATATCCAGGTAGCTCACAGCCATTGTTAAGTCCAGCTCCAGGGGATAGGACCTTACTTCTGCTCTCTGCAGGCACTTGAACTCAGGTATACATGCCTCCAGAGAGACACATACACATAATTAAAATAAATGTCCTGGTACACACCTTTAATCTAGCACTTGAGGACAGAGGCAGATCTCTGTGAGTTCAAGGCCAGTCAGAGCTACATAATGAGAACCCTGTCTTAGAAAAATAAAAGAAAATAAAATTTTAAAACCAAGGAAAAGGGGCTGGAGAGATGGCTCAGAGGTTAAGAGCACTGACTGCTCTTCCAGAGGTCCTGAGTTCAATTCCCAGCAACCACATGGTGGCTCACAACCATCTGTAATGAGATCTGGTGCCCTCTTCTGGCCTGCAGTCATACATGCTGTATACATAATAAATAAATAAATCTAAAAAAAAAAACAAGGAAAAAATAATGGATACATGTGATATATTTAGTAGCTACAGTTCTATACAGCATTGTAAACCCATATGTTATAGATACACATGCAGCCACCACCACTGGTACATCTATAAAGTATAATAGAGAATAAAGAAAGAATATTGTATTCTCTTCCTATTAAAGTAAAAGTGAGCAAAACTTGAGCAAAACATCCACATACTTTGAGATTAGAACTTGGGAGGCAGAGGAAGATGGATCTCTAGGAGTTCCAGGTCAGCCTGGTCTACATAGAGAGTCCTAGGCCTGCTAGGGCTATACAGTGAGACTCTTTCTCAAAAAAAGACATAGAGGCTAGAGAGATGGCTCAGTGGTTGTATTCATCAGGGTTCTCTAGAGGAACTGAACTGATAGTGTGTATGTATGTATATATAATCACACACACACACACACACACACACACACACACACACACACACACACACACATATATATATGGAATTTATTAGAGTAGCTTATAGGCTGTGGTCCAGCTAGTCCAACAATGGCTGTCTATCAATCCAAGAATCCAGTAGTTGTTCACTCTATGAGGCCGGATGTCTCACCAGTCTTCAATATATGCTGGAATTCTGAAAAAATAGGCTATAATGCCAGTGAAGGAATGGACTTGCCAGAAAGAGCAAGTTTCAAATTTCCTTCTTCAGGCGCAGCCCAGATTAAAGGTGGATCTTCCCACTTCAGAAGATCTGAATCAAAGTTGCATCTTCTTATTCAAAAGATCTGGATTAAAAGTGGGTCTTCCTACTTCCAACAATTTAGTTAAGAAAAAAAATCCCTCACAGGTGAACCCAGCTACTTGGGTTTTAGTTAATTCCAGATGTAGTCAAGCTGACAACCAAGAATAACCACCACAGTGGTTAAGAGGACTTGTTGCTCTTGCAGAGGACTTGGGTTCAAGCACCCACATGGTGGCCTGTCTCTGCAGGCATCAGGCACATATGTGGTGCACAGACATAAACGTAGGAAAAACATCCATATACATAAAGTAAATTTAAAAATGAAATCAGTGCAAGAAATTAATAAAAGGACATAATTAAGAGAGCTCTGGGGTGCCAGTCATGTCCACTGATTAGACAGGGTTACTAGAGTTGATCTGTTGATAATTCAGCAAGTTAAACATTTACATTTTATGTTCTTTTGCATTTTTATTATATCGATGTTAGTGAATATTATTAGTTTCTTTGAGTCCAGGTATTGCTGTGTATCCTGGCTTGCCTAGCACCCACAATGGAGCATAGGCTGGTCTTGAACTCACAACAATTCTTCAGACTCAGTCTCCTAAGTGCTGAGATTACAAGCATGTGCCAACATGTGCAGATTTTAAAAAGTTAAAGGTATGAAACATGCTTACTTTAAAAATGCATATGATCTTCAGGAGTACAAAGTTAACATTATAGGGGTCAGCAGACAATTAAGAGATGGCTGTGTTCTTATAGAAAACCAGAGTTCTATTCCCATTACCCAGATGGAGTAGGATAAAACTGCTTGTAACTCCAGCTCCAGGGGGATTCAAAACTCTTTTCTGGCCTTCACAGGCACCTGAATACATGGGATATGATCACAGAGACACATGTACACATACAAAAATAAAAATTAAGGGGCTGGAGAGATGGCTCAGTAGTTGAGTGCATGCTGCTCTCTCAAAGGACCTGGTTCAGTTCTAAGTACCCACGAGGTGACTTACACTCTAACTCCAGCTCCAGGGGAATCAGTATCCTCTTCTAGCCTCTGAGGGCACCTCTAGCCTCCTACAAGCACATAGTACACATATATACATTCAGTCCACACACATAAAATAAATAAATCATTAAAAAATAAAATAAATTAATAAAACAAATAGTCTATAGTTCCATCTCAAAGTGATCATTGAATTGCTTGTTGTGGTTGCTGGTTAACACATATGCATACTAAAAGATCTTTCTTTTCTGTATTATTTTTTAGACAGGATTTCTCTATGTAGTACAGTTTGGCCTTGAACTTGTGGTCCTGCTATCTCAATCTCCCTAGTACTGGGAACATAGACTTGTGCCACAAGGCCCAAGTTCATTCACGGGACTATACCACACCATGTTTTATCCTTAAATCTTTGCATTTATTGCTATATTTTAAAAACATATTTATACATTAGCACTCAAAATCAAAACATGTCAAGTATCTTTCTTCTTTCTTTCTTTCTTTCTTTCTTTCTTTCTTTCTTTCTTTCTTTCTTTATTTATTTATTTGTTTTTTTTCGAGACAGAGTTTCTTTGTGTAGCTTTGGAGCCTGTCCTGGAACTCACTCTGTAGCCCAGGCTGGCCTTGAACTCACAGAGATCTTCCTGCCTCTGCCTCCTGAGTGCTGGGATTAAAGGCCTGTGCCACCACCTGGCAATATCTTTCTTCTTTAAAAATATTTATTTTTACTTTATGAGTATGGGTGTTGTGCCTGCATGTATGTGTGTATACCATTTATGTTCCTGGTGGACAGAAGAGGGCTATAGATCACCTGGAACTAGAGTCATAGATGGTTGTGAACCCCCATGTGAGTGATGGGAATTGAATCTGCATCCTCTATAGGAGGAGCAAGTGTTCAGCTATCTCTGCAATCCCAAATATCTTTCTTCTGAAGAGTCCCTTTGAATGGGAGAATGGGCCTACCAGAACTGATTCACTGATAAACAGTCATTGGTGATGAACATTCTGATTATCTTGAGGGTTGGTTTCTATTTCCTTATTTATTTATTTATTATGGGGAAATGGGCCTATTTCCTTCTTTCTTTCTTTCTTTCTTTCCTTCCTTCCTTCCTTCCTTCCTTCCTTCCTTCCTTCCTTCCTTTCTTTCTTTATTGTGTGGGAATGGGCCTACCAGAACTGATAAACAGTCATTGTTGATGAACGCTCTGATGCTCTGATTATCTTGAGGGTTGGTTTCTATTTCCTCATTCATTCATTTATTTATTACGTACTTAACACTGAAATGAACATCTTCACACATATCTCTGTGTATATTTGTACAACTATATGCCTGGAATAAATATCAAGACATGAAGTTTCTGGGGGTGAGCTAACCCTTTTTTTTTTTTTTTTTCCTGTTTGGATTTTTTGAGACAGGGTTTCTCTGTGTAGCTTTGGAGCCTGTCTTGGAACTCACTCTGTAGCCCAGGCTGGCCTTGAACTCACAGAGATCCACCTGCCTCTGCCTCCCGGGTGCTGGGATTAAAGGTGTGCGCCACCACCACCCGGCTGAGCTAACCCATTATTAAATGCTGATAGGCAACATCTAAATTTCCCTCACTGTCTATGTAGTGATCTACATTGTCATTGCAGGTATATAAAAAGGTCTCCATACGTTAGATACAATTAAGCTGTGTATTTCTCCTAATCTAACACATTAAAATGATAGCTTTAAATTATATATTTCTGCCGGGCGGTGGTGGCGCACACCTTTAATCCCAGCACTCGGGAGGCAGAGGCAGGCGGATCTCTGTGAGTTCGAGGCCAGCCTGGTCTCCAAAGCGAGTTCCAGGAAAGGCACAAAGCTACACAGAGAAACCCAGTCTCGAAAAACTAAAAAAAAAAAAAAAAAATTATAGATCTTTTAAATTTATTAATTTATTGTATGTGTGAGCATACCTGCATGTGTGCCATGGTATACATGTGGAGGTCTAAAGATAACTTATGAGTCAATTCTCTTCTTCCAATGTATGGGTCCTGGGGGATTGAACTGAGGTCATCAAGCTGGGTGACAAGTACCTTTATCTGGTGAGCCATTTCACTGGCCCCAAATTATACTTTTTATGAGAGATCTTGAATTCATTTTTGCAGTGTTGATGTTCCCCCATACCTGTGAATTCTAGTCATGGATCTAAGCAGTTGAATTGAACACTATAATTACTGAGTGACTAAGTTTCATAAAGAACATACTGGCAAAATGTTAATTTAAAAACACATGTGAACTAAGTATAATAGTGCACACACATAATGCCAGTATATGGGAGGCTGAGGCAGGAAAATGATGAGTTTGAGGTTAGTTTTGGATGCAGGCTGAGATCATATCTGAAAAGTTACATCTAAAATCAACAGACTGTATGAAACTACATGTTGGAAAGTTTGGTGAGTATTGTGGTACAATACAAGGCTTTGCAATAGGGAAATGTTTCCCAAAGTAACTCAGGCCTTTATTCCTCCAAGCTGATGGCATCCTCTCCTGTCTTTAACAATCTACCCAGGAAGCAGGTGGCAAAAGCTTGTATACTCAAGAATCCTCAAGAAAAATCCAACATAGCATGTACATAACATACTCATTTGGATAAGCAAACCCCCTCTTCCATTTAACACGGTTGCTATCCTATGTGGCAGCACTGGAAATACAGATGAAAATACAAGGGTTCTGAATTCAGAGAGCCCTGGTCTATGTAGAATGCCTTTCTTTTTCTTTTTTTTTTTTTTTGTTGTTGTTTTCAAGACAGGGTTTCTCTGTGTAACAGCTCTGGCTGTCCTGGAACTCACTCTGTAGCCCAGGCTGGCCTCAAACTCACAGAGACCTGCCTGCCTCTGCCTCCGAGCGCTGGGATCAAAGGTGTGAGCCACCACTGCCTGGCCTGTAGAATGCCTCTTTACCATGGGAACAAGGAGTCTGGCACTCATCCTTACACTTATTTCAGAATACATTAAACAAACAAAACACCAGAGGCTGGGGTGGAACTCAGCTGGCAGAGCACATACCTAGCATCTATGAAGCCATGGGTTCCATCCCAGCATGTCGTAAGCTGGGTATGGTGGTACACACCTATAACCCTAGCATTCTGGAGGTAGAGACGGGTTAGAAGTTCAAGGATAGCCTCTGCTGTATAATGGGTTCAAGGATACATGAGACCCTGTCTTGAAAAAAGAGACAAAATAAAAACTAAACAGCTGTGGTGCAAGAAAGGACCAAGGCAGACCTAACACTACACACTGGTCTGCTTTCTGATGCTTGGCTTGCATAGTAAGTAAGTGCTCATTCTTCACATCACCCTCATGAAGAAACCTGCTCCCAGTCATGGGTAATGGACAGCAAAGCTAGGAGAGTCCTTTTGATTTTGTTACGCCTGTTCTGGAGGTGTGAGAGTATTGATGGAAACCAGGAAATAGGGAGTTTAGTCTTTGAGTGAGTATAGGAGAAAGAAACCACTGGGATGGGAAGGTGTGACTTTGGGTCTTCTAAGCGTCAGGACCCAGTTTTCCTGGATCCCATTGTGTTAGTCATCACGGTGTCATGGTGGATACCATGGTAATGTACTGGTATCAAAGCTGAAGTCGAATGTTTTCATTCCCTGCACAGAGGTGTTATGTGACACTATTCCTGAGGAGATATAAACATCTACTCACCCAAGACAGGGAACCAATGACAGATAAAAGTATGGATATCACAAAAGTCCAATTTGGTGGACAAATGAGTTTTATTGGGGTTACTTATAGGAATATGGGTGAGAGGTTACTTACAGGAGCAGAAATGACTCAAAGATAACTCAAGGACCAAAAAGCTCACGCCCTGGGCCTGGAGAAATGACTCAGTAGTTAAGAGCCCTTGCTGTTCCTCCAGAGGTCCTGACTTCATTTTCCAGCACCCACATCAGGCAGCTCACAACTGCCTGTAACTATAGCACCAGGAGACATGACACCTTCGTCTGGCCTCTACAGGTAGTGTATAAACCCTCATTCTGATGTACACATATAAAGTCTATCCCATCGTGGATGACAGCTTGTGAAAGCTAAGAACCTGGAGCGTGCTGAATAACCTCCAGGCAGCTCAAACTGTTGAGGAGTGCCTTTGCCAGGGAGTCCAGAGCCTCTTCCAGGCAGCTCAGCAGTTTGCTGCTCTCTGCTTCTTCTAGGAAGCTTGGTTGACCTCTGTTTCTTTCAGGCTTCTCAGGTGGTCTGAACCTCTCTGGGAAGCTCAGTTTGCCTGAGAGTCTCAGCAATCTTTACTGTATATATATGTGTATATACACATATCGCACACACACATACATAATACATATACATAATATACATCTATCCTTGAGGATGGAGAGGCCTAGTGTATCTGGTCATTTTCAGGGACTTCCTGAAGCCACTGAATTGTTTACTTCCCCTTAGAACACCCTGTTGTTCCACATCCTTTTAAAAACTTGTCTTAAAATACTACTTCCCCGTTAACATCCTGTGTTTTACCAAGCTTTCCTAGAAGATGGAAGGTTTTAATCTCACAGACAACTGCTACACACAAGAGGGTATTTTTAGTTCCAATGATAAAAACATGTCCTGATGTTTGCTATCATGACCTGATTACCAAAGATTTTTTTTTTTTGGTTTAATAAAAGGACTCTGTTTTCATTTAGGATAATTTTTTTCTTCAAAGACCTCATTTAAAATACGTATCCTGTGGAAACATTAGCGAGCGTGTTGAATTAAGGAAACGACTAGGTTGCAAGTCATTCCAGTGGTATTTGGATAATATCTTTCCAGAGTTGGAGCCAATTGTACACAACGATGAAGAAAAAAAATCATTTATTTAATAAAGGGTGAAAAAGTCCCCTAATTCTTCAACATATTGGCACCAGAGGACAAATTTGGGACACCATGGCATTATGTGAAATGCAATGATAAATACAATCAACATGGCCAACCTCTCAGGAGTGCCTTTCTCCACCTGTAGTGACAAGTCTTCCTTTGTTGCTCATCTGCCACTGAAGTTCTGGGGATAAGGACCTTGACATTAGAAATGTGAGCTCTCTCACGGCTCAGCTGCCGGTATACGATTGACCCAGATAAAGTATATTGGTTGTGATTATTTGACCAATTCACTTGGCAGGGATGGTCCGCAGGAGCCTGCTCTGCTCCTGCTCTGCTCCTGCTCGAGCCTTCACTGGTCTGATGGGCTGACACGATTGCCTTTGGAAAGTGTTCACAAAGAGCCATGACTGGTGTCTACAGTGGCGGAGTCAGGTCAAGCTCCGTTCTTGCAGCCAGTGTACGAGTCTGGGGCTGCCTCCTGGCTTGGTTGGGTTCCTAAGAGTCTGATGTCCAAGTCACCTCGGCTGAAGTTCTCCATATGTTCCTGATGGCCTTTCCGTCCTGGGCCACTCCTTTTCTGCTGCTTTGTATTTTCATGTCTGCGCCCTCTGTCCTCTGTTCTGTGAGTCACAGCTTTCAGGATGCTTCTTGAATTATGCCTTGTTGTTAAGCTCTAAGCAACTCTCAATTGTGTAGCTAGGGCTGGGACAGAACAGCTGGCTCCCTACCTGCCATGCCCAGAGACTCCTTAATGCCTAAAGTACTTCGTTGGGGTTTGAGGGATGCTGTAAGGCTCACCCTGTTGAGGGTGAGTTTAAGAAGGTCAAGGAGGAGTAATCCACAAAATCTACAAAGAAAACGAGGGAAGAAACACACTAAAAGGACAAAAAAGGCGGAGATGCCTGCCAGGATTACCAAGATTACCAAATGTAGCCTATGCAAACCTAACCTATCTCAGTTTCCTCATCACCGCCCTGAAGTTTCTGAGGGGTTTCTAGCAGGATTGAGCATCCAGAATGTTGATTCACTGCTGTCCCATATAAGCTTCACCCACTTAGGGATACTAGGTGAAATGGTTAATCTTCATTATTACTTTAACAGGATTTGGAGTCACCTAGGAGATACACCTCCTCTGGGAATGTCTTTGAGATTGTTTCCTGAGAGGTTTAGCAGAGTAGGGAAAACCCACAAGGAATGTGGTGGCCATAACACATAGAGCAGGGACTGGATTAAACAAAAAAGAAAAAAGAAGAGGCACACCAGCCCCTCTCTGCCTTCTAAGAATGCAATGTTTCAAGCTGCCTTATACTTCTGCTGTCATGGCTTACCCACCACAATGGAGGCTGTACCCTCAGATTGTGTGCCAAAATAAGCCCTGAAGTTGCTTTTGTTAGGTACATTGTCACACAAACAAGAAAAGTAGCACACATTGTGACGGTGCACAAATGCACTCAGTACTGCTGCCCTTGCAAGAGAGAGCCATCCCTAAAATAACCACTAGTTCCAGTTAGATGAATCGCTGTGTGGATAGGAACGGAAACTACGAAAGATACCCTTTTTGGCATTGGACAGCAACTGTTTGAGGGCAATGACCATGGAGGGACATAGGTAAGGGACATTAGGACTTCAGTCTTGTAGACAGACCTAGGTAGCATAACATAGCAACCCAAACCCTGACAATACTAGTAGATATTTGACAGGACCATGTATGGGTTAATTTTGTGCCACTGTGAGCACAACTTAAAGGGAAAAGATTTGTTTCATGGTTGCTGAGGGTTCATTGCCGGGTTGCCTGGCCACTGCACGTGGACAGATCAGGATGACAGTATGTGAGATAAGTTACTTTGTGATGGACAGGAAGCTCAAAGGAGACTTGGACCACTGGATCGGGTAAGATCCTCAAAGGGGCATCCCCGCCCCATCCTCCTTCCTCCTGACTCCTAAAGTTTCCAGAACCTTTGGAGAATGCACCACCAAGGGCACCAAGCTCTACACATAAGACTGGGGGTGGGGGGTGGGGGGGAACACTTCAAGTCACCGCAGCCAGTTAACGAAGAAGGAATGTATCCTGGGTTAATGCTAGCTAGAACGAGCCACTGATTCAGGTTCGGGTGATGCTGCTTTCCTAGTAATAAAGCACACAGAATTTCCTCCCTACATGTGTCGGTTCCTGTACCAGACATCACGAGACAGGGGTTTAAAAAAATATTAAGGTCTTGACCGAATAGCATTTATTTCAGAGGTAATAGGATTAAAGATTTAGATATCCGTCAATGTAATGCAGTATACTGGACCAAAGACCAAAAACCCTTACCATTCTGTTAGAGCTGCTAAACTCTCTCTAGCCGGGTTGTGCCTTCCTCACACTCTTCCTGTGAACACGCCGGTCGTCCCCTCCTCCTCATCTACACTTCTCTCCGGAGTGACGGAGAACCTCACTGAGAGGAAAGCGCTGGTCGGGGGACTAGCCGGGGCGGCGTGACGCCAGGCCGCGGGCTGTGACGTCATCCTCGGGGGCCGGGGCGTGCGCGCCGTGACGCGGGGCCGTGGAGCCGGGCTCCGCAGGGCTGCGTGTCCTGGGCCGTGTCGCGCGCCGCGGCTCGTGCGGCTCGGCCCGGGCTGTGGCGGGAGAGAAGATGCCACAGCCCGCGCCCCGGAGCGCCGCCATCCCGGGCTGCGGGTGTCGCGGTGAGTAGCGGGCCCGAGGCGCCTGGCCCCGCGCGGCCTCCGTCGGCGCCTGAGCGTGGGCTGCGGCCTGAAAGCGCTGCGGCTGCTGTAGCAGGCTCGGTGGCCTGTGCGGCCCCAGCTGCTTCCGGTTTCAGCTGCACGGATGGGCGCCGCGCGGGGCCGAGTTCTCGGCGGCCGTAACTTCCAGGCGGTGTTGTGATTTACCCGGAAAACGCCGATTTTTATCACTATTGCTGTTAGTCGGTCTTTGCGGGTCAGGATTTAGACCGCGTCCACACGTGAGGCTGGAAGACAGACAGGATGCTTGTTTGCTTGTTTCTTCTTTATATTTTTTTCAATATGCTTGTTAAAGAAATTGTCTCGTATAGTTTCCATACACCCCAAACTAATGCGTTTTGGATAAATATGAAAAACAGTAAGCCCCGCCCCTTACTGTTAGATCTCTCCCTTTGATGGATATTAGGGTGCTCATGATGGACTAGTTTCACTTCCCATCGAAGATTTGGTCTAGTCCTTTTACTTGATGAGAGCCGTCATGGTCGGGTTGGTTGCTTTTTTGGTTGCTTATCTTCAGACAAAAAAGTGAGACTCTGGGGATGCTTTTCAGTCTCTGCACCCCCACCAAAATAGAGTTACTTCTACATAACGGGAGTAGTTCTGATTTCAAAAACAAAAACAAAAAACAAAGACACAAAAACTTATTTTTTTTTTAAATTTGAAATACCGCTTTAAGAAAAAAAATAGGAAATAACCCTTTCTTACTCTCTCTGTGTGTGCCACAGAGCTCTGCAAGTGAAATGTCAGCAAACAGTAGGACATATTTTTCATTTTGGACAATGGCCCTGCAACTTTATTTGAATTTCTAACATTTCTGTGCTGTTTCTTGCACGGAATTTTTTTTTTTTGTCACAGTTTCATATTACTACTTTTCTTGCAAATTACACATAACACGAAGATTATCATTTTAATTGTAGTAGTGTAATTGAACGGCATCAAGTCCATTCACAATGCTGTGTTACAGTCAGCGTCATGTATTTCCAAAACATTTAATCACTCAAGGCAGACACTGTACCTATCGGGCAAGGACTCTGCCCCTCTTGTCTCTGTGAATTTACCTGGTTTAGATACTTCATTGTTAAGTGGAATTCTTCTGTCTTTCCTTTCATCTTTACGTGCATCTGTTTGAGTCTCTGTGATGGCTATTCTTGGTTGTCAACTTGACTACATCTGGAATTAACTAAAACCTAAAATGTTTGGGCACACCTGTGAGGGACTTTTGCTTAATTAAATCATTTGAAGTGGGGAGACCAACTTCTAATCTGGATCTTTGAGGAAGGAAGACACACCTTTAGTTCAGATATTTTAGGGTGGGAAGATCCACCTTTAATCTGGGCCATACCTTCTGCTAGCATCCTAGATAAAGGACATGGAAGGAGGAAGCCTTTCTATTCCTGCTTGCTCTTGGCCCTCACTAGCAAGTCCATTCCTTCATTGGCATTAGAGCCTGCTTCTTCGGGATTCTGGAATATACTGAAGACCACCTGAGACATCCAGCCTCATGGACTGAACAACTGGCATAGACAGTCATTGTTGGACTAGCTGGACCACAGCCTGTAAGCCATTCTAATAAATCCCCTTCATTCATATAGATAGATAGATAGATAGATAGATAGATAGATAGATAGATAGATAGCGCACCATTCTAATAAATCCCCTTCATTCATATATATATGAATTCATATATATATGAATGAGAGAGAGAGAGAGAGAGAGAGAGAGAGAGAGAGATTCATTCTAAAAGTTTCGTTACTCTGGAGAACTGTGATGAATACAGTGTTTCTGTTTTCATTCTTTGGAATGTATATGTAAGGTTTGGATTGCTCTGCTCACATCTGAAAAGACTCTGCTTTGAAGACTTTTTTACCTGTGCAGGTTGCTGAATCTGACAGACTCCACCTCAACACTCACCTGGATAAGCCCTCAGTAATCTTTTTTAAGTTAATTAATTAATTTTTATTTTATGTGTATTTTGTCTGCATGTATGTCTGTGTAGACATGTGCATATAGTGTCTGTAGAGTCTGGATCCCCTGGAACTGGAGTTTCAGGCAGTTGTGAGCTGCTGTGTGGGTGCTGGGAATTGAACCCGGGTCCTCTGGAAGAGCAACCAGTGTTCTTAACCACTGAGCCATCTCTCCAGCCTGGTGCTCAGTAATCTTCATGGTACTTCATATTGCTTGTCAGCACCCCCTCTGGCTGTTCCTTGGGAACCTTCTGAGGTCTTTCATAGGTTCTTTCCCCCCAAAGTTCACGGTGTCCCCAAGTTTAGTGTTTGCTTTCTGCCCCTGTTGTACCTTCCTTACTTAAACCTCCTCTGCACCAGTTGCCATGGAACTTGAACTGCAATTCCCACGTCTCCTTTAAGTTTGACGTCATTTCCCTCTCAGTCTTCCCATGAATGTGACATCTCTAAAATCATCCCAAACCACCCTTGACCCTTGTTCTGTGCCATCAGGACTTGAAAGCTTGGTGCTGTTGCCTCTTCTTCCTCGGGGCCTCCCTTCATGCTGACAGGTGCAGACAGTTGGCCGTTGCTCTGCCTGTCCACTCAATTTCACAGCCCAAGGTCAAGCCCAGGTGGCTTCTCCTTGGGATTGTTTTCACTGATTCCTTGATTCTGAAGATTTTCTCCCTCAGTCCCGAACTGTTTTGTTCACAGCTGTCAGGACTTTCTTCTAAGATAGGTAGAAGAGTTGCCCCAAGACACTAGCTGGCCGTTTTCACCCCGCCTTCCAATCGGGTCTCACTCTGGAAGCCCAGGCTGGCCTTGAACCCTTGTCATTCTTCTTGTCCAGCTTCCCATGTGCTGGGATTGTATGTCTGTGCAGTTCTGACAGGTTTCCTTTGCAGTGGCAGGGCCCCAGCCTGTCTTCCTACAATTAGTCCTTGAGGTCCTCACAATCCATGATGAGTTAGGGCTGGAGAGCTGGCTCGGTGGTTAAGAGGAAGTGGTGTTCTTGCAGAGAAACCAGTTCAGTGCCCAGCAGATGTGTTGGGGACTTCAAATCACCAGTGGCTCTGACACCTCTGGACTCTACAGGCGCCTGCACTCATATGTACATGCCTACCCCACATACACATAATTAAAAATAAAAATAAATCTTTAAAAAAACTGTTCAGGAAATTCTGCTTCATTTTACCAAGATGGGAGACGGGAGACCTCTTAGAGCTGCCTGGCATGGGTCCTGGGAATTAAACTCTGGAAGAACAGCAAGCGCTCTTCTGAACTGTTGAACTACAGCTTTGGCCCTTAATATTCTTCTTTTTCTTTAAGATTATTTTTATTTTATGTGTAGGAGTGTTTTGCCTGCATATATGTTGGTGTACCCCATGTGTGCAGTGCCCACAAAGACCAAGAGGGTGTGAAATCCCCTGGAACTGGAGTTACAAATGATTGTTAGCCACCATGTGGGTGCTGGGAACTGAACCCAGTTTCTCTGCAAGAGCAACAAGTACTCCTGATCCCCAGCCCCTGGTTTAACATTCCTATTTGAAATGTCTCTGTTAAAAAGGACTATTGTTTTCAAAATATGTAGACTTCACAATTATGTCAACAAGTCTGACTAGGAGTAGATGAAAGACTTCCAGTAGAGGGGAAGTGAGGGACTCCATTCCCTTCCATGGCCCTTTAATTGTCTTCACCTTTATCTTGCCTCAGGGTCACCGGCATTTGCCACCATGCCTTGCGTGTTTTCTGTGGAGAAGAGATTATAAACACTGAGGGCTGTCAGAAGATCTTTCCTAGGGAGCATCTGGTGTCTGGAGTTTAGTTTGCTCTGAACCTTTCCTATTCGGTACTGTCCTTGCTGCAGTTACGATGCCGGCGCTCCTGCGTTCTTTTAGTTTCCGGCACTGAGAAGGGGTGAGGGAACACTATGTGTTCCTGTTGTCATCACCTGGTCATTTCACAGGTTATGGTAGGCACGGCACAGCTGTAAGCCAGTAATTGTATTCACATGAACAACTGCGTTCGGATGTGGCATGGCTCGTTTATGGAAAAGGCTGACAAATGCTTGCTCTTTGACAGTTTGTATACAGCATATACTTACACAGAAAACAGCTAGGAACTACTGGAAGGTAAGTTCTCAACATTTCAAGAGACATTTTAAACTTCATTAAGCATTATGGGAGTGGTTTAGACTGAGAAAATGAAAGCCTCCTGTTATTGTTAGACAGGTTCCTCCCATTAACCATATGCTACAGGGTGTAGATTGTACGGGGCCCAAGATGCAGACTGTCAGGACTCAGAAGTGGTGCTCTTTGAACTTCCATTCCTAGAGTATTTGCTCAGTGTTTGCATTTTCTCAGACTTCAAAAGTTAATGAGATAAAATATCCCTTTCCTTTCAGAGTGCTTAAAACTGTTTCTTTGCACGTGTTGGGATAGAAACCCCCTTTGTATCTGAGAGTAGGGAAAGGGTATTCCATTTCATTGAAAGCCCTACACTACGTATTTCTCTCCAAGGTTTTTCTTACATATGGAGTGTTTTTCTAGGAAAGTTATTTTTTAGCCTCACTTGTTAAATGATTGCATATACTTTATATAATATGTTTGAAATAAAGACAAGTACAAATAGAGGTAGCCAAAATGCCACTAACCAGAACTTATCAATGTTATTTCCTGATAACTGCCAACAGCAATTGCCAACAGCTGTATAGAGACACAAAACAGGCATCAGGGTGTATCATAAAGCAGCACTGGCCAAGTTTCAATGTCACTTTAAACAGTTCCTTTTGTTCATCTCTATCCTCTTAGGTACTGTAGTAAGATGATCAAGCATGCAGCACCCTTCTGGTAGCTTTTCTTATAGAATTACTTAGTGATTTTTAGAAGAAGATGTTAGGCTATTTAGTATATTATAATGCTATCTATGCATTGTAATGGAAGATTAGTGGAAATATGCAACATCATGTCAATGAGAATTTAATTGGCAGATTCAGGTATATATACTTACATTGTTACCCCAGTGCTTTCTTGATTTTGTTGAGAGACATTTTCTAGTTTCTGAGATTCCACAGTAGTGCCAAGCCGGTCTTGGCCTGGGAAGATGGTGTCTACCTGCTCAGCCCTCGCCTGTCCCCGGCCTGTTCTCTTTTCTTCCTTTCATCATAGGAAGCGGCCTTTCTTCTCCATGGCTTATGAGAAAGGCTAGAAACTAACTCGGCTGTTCTGCTTGTGGCTTACCGTTCCTTGTTTCTGTTGTTGTTCTTTTAATTTTTCCTGCTTTGGTCTTGTTTTATTCTGAGGAACTTGTTTGACCTCATTTTTTTTCTACAGTGGTTTGCGTATTGAATTTGTTTTAAAAACTTGGGTCAGTTAGAGTCCATTGAATTGTCATTCGGAGTTACTCTTCTAGGGTTGCAGGTGCAGCTTAATGGTTGCTTGGTGAGGCGCTGAGCTTAATAGTTCAATCCGGGCATCACAGGATTTCCAACTTTGGTTAGAACTGTAAAAATGGTTTATTTTAAAATTTTCCTTTCAGTATTTTTACTGTGTGTGTGTGTGTGTGTGTGTGTGTGTGTGTGTGTGTGTGTGTGCGTGCGCGCGCGCAGTGCAGTGCAGTGCATATGGAGGCCATTTGGTGTCGTTTTTAATTGCTCTCCATCTCACTGAACCTGGAGCTCCCTGATGGGTCAAGCTTGGCAGCCAGTGAGGTCCAGGGATCTGTCTGCCTTTCTCTGCTTCCCCTAGTGCTGAGATCACAGCTGTGTAGGAGCACAGCCTGCACACTGCCAAGGATCCAAACTGAAGTCCGAATGCCTTCTCAGTAAATATTTATTTTCATTACCCCACGTGTACTATGCTCACACTCTGCTGGTGGTGGAAGATTTCACATTGCTCAGAATCTAAATGTCCCATAACTTTTTCAACAGAAATATGCTTTTAAAAAGTATCTAAACAAGTAGTTATTGTTAACACAAGGCACTAATCAACATTTGGGTTTGAGAAGATAGAAGGATCCCTGTGTTGTGGGGTCTCGCTTATGGCTCTGAGGGTGAGGGTCTCTGGGTGAGGTCGTTGTAACAACCTTGCTTATACTGTGGATACATTGTTTATTGAGATGTCTTCATTTCAGAGATCTGGAATTACCATTCAGTTTGCAGGTGCTGGGCTTTTCATTTCCCAGCTTCTTTATTTAGTGCACTCTCTCAGGTGACAGCTGTTACTCAGCCACTCGGGCAGGACCCTTGAATCCACCAGCCCGTTCACATTTTTACCCTAGTCTTCTCTCCTCACACCTCTCTGTCTGACTTGAGCTTGTGGTCTCTCTCCACTGGAGTCACTATGCTGTGTGTACTTTGCCCACCTCCTCCTCTCCTGTCTGAGAGCAGCTACCACATCCATGAAAGAAAAACAAGGTCAAACTGATGTGTTTCACAGGGTAGCCTGTCAATCATTCTACACTGACATCCACGAGTGACTGTTGGGGCTTTTGTAAGCATTTACGTTTCTGACTGAAAAGTTTGTCACTGTTGTTTGGCTTGGCATTAATTGACCTTACATATTTGCTTTGGCCTTCCTTTTAAATATGTTCAGCCTTGGACGCTGATGCCAGGGGTAGTTGCCAGTAGAAGACATAACAAAGATACAAAGCAAAGACTAGTATGTGTAGGCTGGGCTTGTCATTTGTCAGAATAGATGAGATTAGAATTTCAGGTTTTGATTTTTGTTTGGTCGCGTTAATGTCTAACTAGCTGGTATGTGTTTGCTATGTACCTTTTCATATTCGGTTGTTGATCTGTCAGAAAAACGTATCTCTGTTGCTTCCAAGCGCTGATATGGCTAATTATAGAAATGATTGATTTTATAAGTGTCATGTACAGTGATTTGCCACCTAAAACATGTTCTCAATTAAAACATTGCTAAGGAAAAAAACAGCTACTTAACAGAGTTGTTAAGAATTAGGACATTTATTGCCCTTACTTTGGGCTGATGTAGCTATGATGGGGGGAGTGGTCTGTGAGGACTCTAGACAGAGTTGGACAAGCCCTATGGGTGGGCTCTTTGGATAGAAAACCTTTTCATTTTACACTTAGATGTTTGCAGGCAACCGTGCATGGTTGGAAAAATGGAAAGGATTTTCCTGTTTTCACCACGGACTGTTATTTACTATTACAGATTGGGCAGATTCCTTGAGTTGTCTCTTTACTTTGCCAGTAATAAATATGACTGCTGTTCCAGCATCATTTTCTTACTGTTGTTAATAAGGTGCTCTGATAGTTATTAAAGACTTACACAGTCTTTCATTCATTTCAACAAATATTTAGTCTATCTCTGCTGTACACCAAACACTACTCAGGAAATACTGCAAGGAATCAAACAGACCAAAAGGCTCTGATGTGATGTTTCTCATCTTCCAGTCTAGAGGAGCTGAAAGTGGTAAGCCATGTGTGTGTATGAAGAGAGACCGGCTTTACTATCTAGTGTCCGAATTGCACTTTAAGGTAGGTGCTCTAGGTATAGGACCTTATTGAGAAGGCCATATCTGAATGGGGAGTAAACAGGTAAAGGAGGCAGCTATGAAACCACCCAAGGAAAAGTATTCTAGACAGGGAAGAGCCAGCGCAGTCCTTAAGAGTGTGATTGGTGTACTTCTGACCCATACGGATCTGTATCTGGGGTAAAACCAGTGTCAACTGCCCTGGTTTCGGTACGAGGGTGTTAAAAGCCTCTGAAAAGGAAGTAAAGAGTGTTTCTTATTTCTTGTTCTTGGAAGGCAGCCACATCACACTAAGGCCATTTTCTTCAAGGTTTGGTAGCTTAGGTTTTTGCAAGTGCAAAAACCACCTAGTGTGGGGCGTTTACCCACCACCCCCACAGTTTTTCTTGAGTGCGAGCAGCAGGAAATATTAGATAGAAGGATTTATTGCGGAGAATCTTGCGGAGATAAACAGATAGAAAATAAAGGATAGCCTCGAGAGGGCCTGGAACCTATTCCAACGGGCCCCGACTGTCTCTGCCCCAGGGTTTTTATAGAGACACCAAGGGGTGGAGCAAAAGACCTCCTCCCCCAGCACAGCCAAGTGCAGACCATCTCAGACACCTGCACTCAGGCCCGTGGTCTAATCATCCTCTATGCGGACCTGCTGGGTAAAGCCACGAGGACCCCGAGAACGGGCTCCCACACCTAGAAATGTCTGTTTACGAAGGGTTAACATTTGAAAGGACTGTAAGCCATCTAGGCTGCCTGATTCCCAGAGCCAGTGCTCTTTGCAGAACTGGCCCGTTGCATTTGAATTCACAGACCGTTCACCCCGCCTCAGAAAGCCATATGGAACCTATAACTATAGAAAATTTCTAAAATACATCTATACCCATAGTGGCATGCACCAGAGGCAGTGGATTTCTGTGAGATCAGCCTGATTTACATGGTGAGTTCCCAGACAGCCAGGGCTATGTAGAAAACCCTGTCTCATACAGACAAATATACAAACAAACAAAAAATACATCTATATACATACATAAAAAGGACTAAAACGGAGTTATCCTTTAGTGGCAACAATATTAGAAACCTACTAGAGGTTAATAAGAACCCCAGTGTCAGGAATGTTTTTCTTCTTTTGAAATTGGAGGTTCCAAAGACCTCCAAACATTACGGGTTATTGTCATTGTTCCTGGTTACCTTCCTGAACTTGAGTGATAACCTATTACTCAAGACATTACATACTTGAGTCAAAGAACATGGAAAAATCAGCTGGTACTGACCTGGAAACTTTATACTTACTGGCTAGCTTTCATAAAAGTGCTGAAGCTTCTTTATGTGCTCCTGGAAATGAAAAGTAAGCACCAGACATAACAGCTGTGAACTCTTCCAGTTACAGTCATGACTGGTCTGGCAAGACATGCCCAGTGGTGCAGTAGTCGCATAAACATCATGGGGTAGCCAACCACTTTCTGATTGGATTTGAGGCCCTTTATTGGCTGAGAGCCTATGGCAGGGATGGAGGCCCTCGGAGAGAACCTACTACTATTACTTTGCTCAACAGACACAATAAACGGACTCCTAATGACTTACTGTTACACCCATAGATTAAGGAACTTCTTAACCCCTTGCCAGAGAAGCTTCTGTTTGCAATAAGTGACAACACAGATACTCAACAACTGGCCAGGGTGCAAAGAATGAAATAGTACAGAATGTTTAGCTTTAAAGGGAACGTATATATCCCATCCCCCACCCCAGAGCCCAGGAATGTTGTGGAAAGAGGGCGGTGGAAGAGTTGAAGAGCCAAAGGGAGTGGACGACCGTAAGGAGGCAGTGTCTTCTGGACACAACAGGGCGGCTGCACGTATGCGCTTACAGTGGTTATGACAGCACGCACAAGACCTGTCAAGTCCAAGCCACACCAAAGCCAGCATGCAAAGAGGAGGTGGGCACGAGAGTCTACCCTAGCTGAGGTGCTGCTGCCAGTTGTTGGCTGCGCGGAGAGGAAGAGTCAGTTTTCTCTAAGAGTGTACCCCTGATAAGTCAATTGTGTTCCAGTGGAAGGCCACACATCCAAGAATATTTGGGCAGCACCAATTGATGTTGACAGGTGGTAGGGTGGGAGTGGGGGGAACTTTTTTTAAATGATTTATTTATTTTATGTGCATTGGTGTTTTGCCTGCCTGTATGTCTTTGTGAAGGTGTCAGATCCCCTGGAGGCAGAGTTACAGACAGTCGTGAGCTGCCATGTGGTTGCTGGGAATCGAACCCAGGTCCTCTGAAAGAACAGCTATTGCTCTCAACCACTGAACCATCCTTCCAGTTTCCTGTTTTGTTTTATTTTTAAAGACAGGTTCTTACTAGGGCCTGGGCTTCAACAACTAGGCTGGCTGGCTAGCAGGTCTCAGGGATCCATCTGTCTTCAACTTCCTCAGCATTGGGATTACAAAGCATGCCACACTCATTTGTTGCCCTTACAGAGGACCCAGGTTTGATTTTCACATCCACATGATAGTTCACAACCATTCCCTTATTCCAGTTCCAGGGGCTCTGATGCCCTCTTTGGGCCTTCATGGGTACCAGACATGCATGTGGTGCACATAGATACATGGAGGCAAACTACTCATAAACTAAAACAAATAAATCTAAAAGAAAGGAAAGAAGGAAGAAAGAAGCCTCAGCGCTTGCCACAGTTTCTGGTCTTTTACATAGGCACTCTGGACCAAACTCAAGTCCTCAGACTTGCCCGACAAGTGCTAGTCTGCTGAATTCTTTCTGCAGCAATGGAGGTTTGAGTTTCTCACTGGTAGTCTGTATAGTGTTGCCTAGAAAGTAGAGATGCACAGCATAGCTCTGGAGGCCAGGAAACCTGGATTGTCTATGGTACTTTTACTGTGAAGCTCTTAGAAAAATACTTCCCAGGTGGTTTTTTGAGTGTCTCATTGGCCTAGAACGTGCCCAAGTGTGCTAGGCTGACTGGCCAGCAAGACACAGGGATCCACGGGCCTGCCCTTCCTAGCCTAAGACTGAAAGTGTGCTGCCACACTCGGGTAAACCCAGATCTTTACAACAGCTCTCTTCCTACCCCTTTGATTCTTGGCTTTGGAGGGTTCTAGACTTGGCCAAGATGGTGACAATCAGGCTGAAGAAATGCAGATGGCAGTGTCCACCTGTGGTAGAGTTGTTTGCTGGAACAGCTGTTGTATCCTGGGACTGGGAAGGGCTTGGCTGTTGTTCATGTCATCTTTGAAGGCTTCCTCCTGTGTTAAGATACAGGAAGGAGTCCACAGTGGAGGTAGGGAGGTCTGGAGTGGCTTGAGGAGGACCATCTTTTACATGTTAGTTTTGCTGCTTAGTTGGCGACCATCAAAGCCGCATGCCTATGGCCTGACTTCAGCATCCCATGGTCCTCTGAACATGCTATGCTTTTGTTTTTTATTGCTGTTTGCTTGTTAGTTGCCTGCTCCTAAGCCAAGATATCAGGCAGTTAAAATATCTTTCTTGGTTGAAACTCAGAATTTGCCTTAAAGGTCACTACTCTGTCTTCCCATGTTGTTGCAAATTTGTGCCTTGTTTTCCTGATAAAGGCTTTGGACCCTTTCTTCCTGGGCATTTCCTTGCACTTGTATGGGTCTGTATTTTTCGGGTATGTATTTAGTGTAAAAGGTACTTCCAGCTGACAGGGCGGCTCATTGGTGCCTTGCGCCCATTGCAGTTACTACCCTCTTTTATCCGCATTACCATTTTAGTTTTGCTTTAATTACTTTTGTTTTTTAAGTTGACTTGTGAAATATCTAGTAGTTGGTTGGCAAATAATTTAAAAATAGCTGTTTACCATCTAGGCTGAGGGCATAATCTTGTTCAAAAAGCTTAATGTTTAAAGTGAGGTTTACTAATTAATTTGCTTTGTCTTGTTTTTTAGGGATGATTTTTAATTGACTGTAGAAATAAGTGATTTATAAGTTGTATCTTCGTGCAGATGCCAATATACATGGGTTTCTTAGGTAGTGTTTCCTTGTCCTCAGTTCACCTGGAATGTTTATATGTGCTGCTGTTTGATATGATATTTTGTTCTGACTTTGTTTTTACATGATAAAGAGACAGAAAACAATTATTGAAACTCTTTGACAATGCTGTTAGAACTAGAGTGGGCTCTGGGATAGAGTAGACTCTTTGATTAGAAAGTCGGACTTTCTTTTTTGAGTTGGTTATGAGTTTTTTGTTTGCTAGGGTGTTTTTTTCCCAGGGGTGTAGGTGAGGGCACTGTTTGTTTTTGTTTTTGAGCTAAGGTTTCACTTTATAGGCCAGGCTTGGAATTCACTGTGTAGCACAGGCTGGCCATGAACTTAGATGGCCATCTTGCCTTCTCCTCCCAAGTGCTGAGATTGTAATTATGAGCCTCCACTCGTGGCTGTGTGGAAGGGACTTTCCATGTCCTGTGGTGGTACGTGCTGCAGCACTTGATTCTAATCCTGCGAAGGGAGAGCTGAAGACAGTGGCCCCGCTGAGCGCAGTCCAGAGCAAAGGTGAGGAAGCAGTGTTCATTAACAGGGCGGCTGCATGTGTCAGCTGTTCTGTTGCTTCGTTTTCCAAGTGGTGACACAGTGTGAACAATGGGTAGGGTGGGTGGTTTGGAAATCAGTGAGTGTTCAGTAGCTGACTGGGGAGTGTTCCGGGGGTCTAACATGCCTATCTTTCTTTTTTAGGACATTGAAAATGGCCCTTGAGCTATGCTAGGTCTATAATGGGAAGTGTCACAGTTCGGTATTTCTGTTATGGGTGCCTTTTTACATCTGCTACCTGGACAGTTCTGCTTTTCATTTATTTCAACTTCAGTGAAGTGACTCAGCCCCTTAAGAATGTGCCCATCAAGGGGTCTGGCCCCCATGGACCATTTCCCAAAAAATTCTACCCACGTTTTACTCGAAGTCCAGGTCGAGTATTAGATCCGCAGTTTAAAGCAAACAGAATGGACGATTTGATGAATAACCACATCGAAGATCCAGATAATGGCCTCTCAAAATCTTCCTCCGAGCTGGGTAAGTAATCAGGTCTGTGCTCTTTAAATCGTGTGTTGCTCAGGATTAGAAATATCCTATTGTTCCCATAAGTTACATGGTTCTAGTTAGATCTGAGCAGGAGCTGCTGACAGGGCAGTTGTTTAAAGTCTGAACCCAAAGCTTATAGGAGCCCTTTTTATATAAAAGCTTATGTGTAAATTTTTGTGGGGAATGGGTTCCTCTAAAAACTTGATGAGACTGGGGCCTGCTGAAGTCCACTGGGATTTAATAATCGATTTCCTTTATGGAACAATATCAATATTTTTTCTCTGGTCACAAATAATTTGTCTTGTGAGTGTAATAAAATGTGGGGGTTTTGTTAGTTCATTTATTTGTGGTTTTTGTTTGTTTGTTTTGTTTTTTGTTTTTGTTTTTTGAGACAATGTATCTCTAGCTGGCCTGGAACTCACTATGTAGTCTAGGACAGAAATCTGCCTGCCTCTTGTCTCCCTAGTGCTGGTATTAAAGGTATGTGCCAACACATAATAAAGTTGTCTTAAAAATAATGGTTTTGAGCAGGTGTTCGTGGTTAGGTACACTTGGTTTGCATGGAATTGATGAGAGCCTGACGTCAGCCTCAGCTTACTCATTTGAACCCTGCAGCTGCAGACAGCCAATTGAAACTGCGCTGATGTAATCTGATTACAGTGGTGAAGTCAAGACTTCAGGAGACCACCACTCATGTGGCCGTTGAGATCATCTTTCCAGACCTAAGGCTCTGACGGTAATTTCACTCTCTTTCAGGTATGATTTTCAATGAACGTGATCAGGAATTGAGAGACCTGGGCTACCAGAAACATGCCTTTAATATGCTTATTAGTAACCGCTTGGGATACCACAGAGATGTGCCAGACACCAGGAATGCTGAGTATGCTCCTTATTGGCTTCTGATGAATTCCAGTGACAGTGTTTTAACGCCAGTGTGAGCAGTCAAGGACAATGTTCAGTTTGCACTTAGTATTTGGTGTACCAGAACAGTGCACTGGATTCCACTCCTGCTACTCTTGAAGCACTATGGTCTGAAAGTGTAATGATGCAGTTTTAGAGTTTGCTGTATGTCTTTGGACATTTTAAGTCAATTACCTGAACTAAACTTCAAAAAAAATTATTATTGCATTTATGGCAACAAGGAATTAAAACTAGTGACTTACTACTTTTTCATAATCTTCTGTGCTTCTTTCAAAGGCTTTTTGTTCTTGTAGTCAGTCGTTGCACAGACAGATGTTTGTTGAGCACCTTCAGTCTGCCATGCAGTACATAGGCCTGGACAGATAAGATGTACCCCTGGGTTCACAGGGCTCAGTCTCTTTGGGGCAGGTGAGGAAACCAGTTATTGAAGTAGCATGAAATAGGACCTAGATGGGGCTGGTGGAGCAGTCTGGCCTCACAGCAAGTGGTTTCACTGGAGCAAGGAGGCCTTTCCCCCTGTAGAGATAGCACAGAGGTCTTTGAAGTATGAGTGTGCTGTGTTGAAGGGACTGACCCTCATCCACTTTGGTTCTGGTGGGAGAGGTGCGGGAGGTTGGAACTAGGTGGGACAGAGGAAAGAAGTCAGGACCCTGAGTTTATTCTTTAATAGCTTTGTTGTTGCTCAAAGCCACCTATCCAGTAGCTGCTGTGTCCATGGAAGCTCTTCTGTCATCTAAGACTATCACAGTTCACTCAGATCTTTTTACACTATTAGGCAAAAACTAAAAAATTTCAGAGACAAAGTTTTATTATGTATTACTGTGTTTCCACTTAGAACCTCATTGAGAAGCTAGATGTCAGCTTCAGAGTGCTACACATGCAGTAACTTCATGAAAAACAACTCATTATGTAACTTCTATACCAAAAGCAAGAAACCATGTTTTAAAAGATAAATTTATTGGCATGATTCAAAGCAAAGACTAAACCACAGTGTTTTTGTAAATGCTTAAAAATTGCTGTAATGTCAGAAAGCACCTGAACAAGATGGCAGGAAATAACCCAAGACATTTGAGCCTCTTAAAATGTCAGATTTTCTTGTTTTGATTGTTAAAGGTGTAGAGGAAAGTCCTACCCAACTGATCTGCCAACTGCTAGTGTTGTTATCTGTTTCTACAATGAAGCCTTCTCTGCCTTGCTGCGGACTGTGCACAGTGTTGTGGACCGCACGCCAGCACACCTTCTTCATGAGATCATCCTTGTCGATGACAACAGTGACTTTGGTAAGTGATGCTGTGCCTAGTCACAATTCATCGAGGTTCTTATTCACTGTGTGATGCAGCCACAGCTGAGCTTACACCTGTCCATTGATTATAGAATGATTTTACTGAAGTACTTCATCTTTGTAATCTGCTTACAGTGTTATCCAAATTTGCCCCTGGGGAATTTCCCCTTGGCTTGCTTTTAAAAATGTCCATTATGAATTAAGCTCAGATTGATAGGAAGTTATGGAGACTTCTGTTTGCCCTTCAACCAATTTCCCATGTTGGTTCTGTTATACTTACAGTATAGTGTAGTGTAGAAAACAGAATTCCACAATGGTGAATATCCTGCATGAAGATTGTTAGCAACAGCAGTCTTGAGAAACACACTGCATCACCCCGCAGCCCCTGTTGCTCCCCTTTAGAGTTACACTCAGTCTTTGTATCCCTAGTACCCTTCCCTGGCATCTGGTGACCTCCAATTTTGTCATTTCAAAAATGTAATCTAGATGGATATGCAGTATGTGCCCTTTGAGACTGGCACTTTTCATCTGTCACAGTACTGTGGACCATGCTTATAGAAGAAGTGTGCTACACCAGTTGTTCCCAGAGTGGACTGTATTCAGAAAGCTCTTAGATGCCAGTTTTCTGAGAATCACCACGTATTTTACACCATGTATTTTATATACCTTTCTTTAACTGTAGATCTTCATAAAGAAAAGCTTTCTACTCTTTACTCCATTCAGCTCTGAGCCTCCTTCAAGATGAGTGGGGATCCTTTGTACAGAGATGGAGATAGAGGAAGTGACTTGCTCAAGATAGTTTTTGAGAAGTCAAGTGGAGGTTCTACTTAGTCTGCCTGGCTTCCGGCCTCCTCCCTTTGGCACAGCACTGCACACCCAGTGATGGGGTGGCATGGAGACATTCTCCATGTACCAACAACTCTTTAGACCCTCTGTAGCCTCAGTAGAGCTCTACACCAGTATACTTAAGGACTGATGAAGGAACACAACACCCGTGAGACCATAATGCTCAAACCTGGGTAACATCAAAACATCCTCTTGTTATTGTTGCTTTGTTTTTTTGAGGCAGGGTCTTTCTGTGTGGTTCTGGCTGTCCTGGCACTCTATGTAGAACCAGGCTGGCCTTGAACTCAGAGAAGTCTGCCTGCCTCTGCCTCCCAAGTGCTGGAGTTAAAGGTGTATAACACCACACCTGGCGTTTTTTTTGTTGTTGTTGTTTTTGTTTTTGTTTTTTGTTTTTTTTAAAGTCTAGACTGGCCTCAAATTTACTATCAAGCCAAAGTGGGCATTGAAATGGCAGGCAAGAGCCTTCATGTTTGGCTTCATTTCAGACATTGTCTATTGAAAGACACATCTAAGGCAGCTCTTCCTCTTGGCTAGGTTCCAACTTGCACTCTGGGTTTCTTTTTCCTCCTACAGAGGATGCTGGGATGTTTTACAATGAGGCAGAGTCTAACACATTTCTTTGATCACTTGTAGATCTTGACTTACGTGCCAGATACAGTTTTAGGAATGGTTATAAGGTGCCTTTGTGTATATCTCATATGGTGTGAGTAATTATGGAACTGTTCTTTTCAGATGATTTAAAAGGAGAGCTAGATGAATACATCCAAAGATACCTGCCTGCAAAAGTCAAGGTCATAAGAAATAGGAACCGTGAGGGATTGATCCGAGGAAGAATGATCGGAGCAGCCCATGCTACAGGTATATCCGTGCTGTGGCTCTGTGGTTTTGGACGCCTACAGAAGTCCACAGAAAGCCTTAGTTACTGTTCTGTTGCTGTGAGGAGACACCATGAGCAGGGCAGCTTATAAAAGAAAGCATTTGACTTAGGGCTTATGGTCTCAGAAGGTCAGTCTATGACCATTATGGCACAGTAGCTGAAGCTTACATCTGACCCACAAGCAAGAGGCAGAGACAGAGCTAATAAGGGTTTTTGAACCCTCAAAAAGCCCACCTCCAATGACACACTTCCTCTGACAAGGCTACACCTCCTCATCCTTCCAAACAGTTTTATCCAGTGGGGACCAAGCATTTGAACATGAGCCTTTGGGGGCCATTCAGTCCACTCGTTCAGTCTCATTCAAACCTCTACACCATGTTTTCATTGGCTGTTGTCCAAAGGAGTGAAGAAGCTTGTTGTTTGGGAAGATTTTGTAACTCTGACCTGCTGCCCTAAAGCACAGAGTACAAAAATTACTGCTAGAACCCTCACTGACCTATTTCAGTAGTGGCTTTTTAGTTAATTATTGGCCTCTAAAATAGCTTTCTTATCTTGCTGCTTACATAACTAGAAAAGTCCAAGCTAACAAGTAACTGAACTTTTAAAAATTTCATACAGAAATATATAGACTCCAAACTGCTTGACTTGAATTATGCTAATGGTTGTTATTGTGGAGTGCACAGCTCTAAGGTCAGGGTCAGGATTTTACTTGGTAATTGTAAACAGTGTTTAACACTGATAGCATGGAGGAGAGAGTCTCTGTTGTTGTTGGGAGGTTTCCAGGCCCCTCTCTCCATCATGTGGCGCACACCAATCTCCCCCTGAAAGTAGAGAGCAGGTGCAGACTAGCCTTGTGTAGAGAGTACACTCCGGTTCTCTTGGGCTTCACTTGTGTCCTTTGTTTTGATCCCAGGCTGGCTTCCTACTTGCTATGTAGCTGAGGATGGTCTTGAACTCGGGGCCCCTGCTTCTACCTCCCAAGTACTGGGATTATAGACATGCACCACCACACCTGGCTGGATCTCTTTTATGCTTACCTAGAAAGATAGAGGTGTAAGGTTGGCATTCCTGGTTTTCTCTTACTGATCTTGACTAAAATATTTTCCTTTAAAAATACAGACAAGGAGCTGGAGAGATGGCTCAGAGGTTAAGAGCACTGACTGCTCTTCCAAAGGTCCTGAGTTCAATTCCCACATGGTGGTTCACAACCATCCGTAATCAGATCTGGCACCCTCTTCTGTATACATAATAAATAAATAAATCTTTAAAAAAAATCTAGACAAATGAATCGGTTTAAAGTAGCTCCTGGGCATATCAAGTCATGAAGTCAGTTCGATAAGTCCTGACTCGAGTCTTTCCCTCATAGCATTGTCACCTATGCCCTGCTGTGACCTGCTCTGCCTCAGATCCCACCCCCCCCCAAGGGTCTGTGATGATAAGCACTGGGCACCACCACACTCCCCTGCAGCCATGGTAGCCATGGCCCATTGCACTTGCTATACTTGGTTGGGATTTCACTTTTGGGATTTGGTCTTTTTCTTTCAAAACCTCCTGTGACCTGAAGCAGTGGACAGGAAAGGAGAGCAGCCCTCTGCATCCGGTCAGAGCCAGTGCCCTAGGTCAGTGAGACATCTGCTTCTCCAGGCTGTAGCCAAGACTAAAGGAAGTTGGCTGTGCCGGGTCTTTGAAGATGCTGAGCTGGAGAAAACTCTAGAGCATTGAAGATTGTGCCATTTGAACCACTGTACTGCTGCAGTGCATATTTACTGTTATTTTTATGATCTCCTTGTCATTGTTCAGATATGGCGTAGGATCTGCCAGGTTCAAGACAGTTTGAGATTGCTATGGCAGGTTTGGTGCAACCATATAGGATCTTACTGCATTTAGTTAATTAACTTGGCCTCATTTTGAAAAAGTAGTACTTTCAGAATTAAGAAAAGCTATGAAGACATTTCTCCTTAAAGAAACCCTGACCTCAGCCGGGCAGTGGTGGCGCACGCCTTTAATCCCAGCACTCTGGAGGCAGAGGCAGGTGGATCTCCGTGAGTTTGAAGCCAGCCTGGTCTCCAAAGCGAGATCCAGGACAGGCTCCAAAGCTACACAGAGAAACCCTGTCTCGAAAAACCAAAAAAACAAAACCCTGACCTCATTTTCCACTGAACACCAATGGTGCTGAGGAGTGTGCATTCTATATTAGGTAATTGCTAGATTTTTTTGTTTGTTTTTGTTTTTATTTTTGTTTTTGTTTTTGTTTTTCGAGACAGGGTTTCTCTGTGTAGCTTTGCGCCTTTCCTAGAACTCACTTGGTAGCCCAGGCTGGCCTCGAACTCAGAGATCTGCCTGGCTCTGCCTCCCGAGTGCTGGGATTAAAGGCGTGCGCCACCACCGCCCGGCTGCTAGATGTTTTATATACACATTGAGTTTGTGGACAGATAGGGACTATGTGACTAATTTGCTGACATCATTGAAAACTTAGGGGTATTTTTTCAATAATTTATGTTTTAATAAGTCATGTAAAATCTATTCTGATTCTTATTTAGAATAATCCTACTCTCTGATAATTCCAGTTTCTCAAAGAAATTTGGAGTTATCGAAACCAACAGTTCTCAACCTTACTCACATTTATCCAGAAGATGCAAAGATAACAAGAAGACGCAAAGAAAACAGGATGAAGTTTTAGTCATTTATATTTGCTAATAAGGCTGAAAGAATCCCTTAGAGCCCTATGGGAAGTAAGAAGTGAGCTGGAGGTAGTACAGTGGAGAATCCAGGGGAGAACGGTGATATGTATGGACGGTGTCAAACTGTGGTTGGCACAGCAGTCCGTCTTTGAAGGAAGTTACCATAGTGTAGTGGTTCCAGCTCAGGGATGCTAAGCCATTGGTGACAGTGCAGTTCTAGCCTCTAAGGCAGGGATGTACTCAGTTAGATACTTTGAATAAAACAACTGTAGGAAAAGTGGACTCCACAACTGGCCAATGTCACTGCAAGAACACGCTGGGCCTGGCCGCCCCTGGGAGAGGAGGAGTCTCTTGAGTTGCCTGACAGCTTGTTGGGGCCGTCCATGTGGTTTGTAGTCTCTCCGTGACGGTGTACATTTCAGAGACAACTCTTGGCCAAAGGACTTACTTCCCTGAACCCAGCTGACAGTCAGAGAGTAGTTTCTTGATGGGGGTGGTCATGGTGGCCGCCCATGGCCGGTCCATAACAGCCCCATCCTTGCTGCTCAGCTGCACCTTGGCCAAGTGTGAGGTACACTTTCCCATCTTCTCCCTTCACTCTGCAGGAGAAGTCCTAGTGTACCTAGACAGCCATTGTGAAGTCAACGTGATGTGGTTGCAGCCCTTGCTGGCCATCATCCGTGAGGATCCACATACTGTGGTGTGCCCCGTGATTGACATCATCAGCGCTGACACACTTGCCTACAGCTCATCCCCAGTGGTACGGGGAGGTTTCAACTGGGGGCTGCACTTCAAGTGGGATTTAGTTCCTGTGTCCGAGCTGGGAGGAGCTGACGGAGCCACTGCACCAATAAGGTAAGAGAGGTTGGCAGAGTCCCACTAGCTTTTCCTTAGAAAAGAACAGTGTATTAAGGAAAATTTCTTCTTTGTAAGGGGCAAGGGTCTTGACCTAACTTACCCAGTAAAAAAAATTTTGAAGCGAGGTGCTACAAAGAGAGACCCCATCTCAAAAACGCAACAAATTTTGTTTTCATTTTTTTGTTTGTCTTTGAGACAGGATTTATCTCTTTAATAGTTCTGGTTGTCCTGGAACTCACTCTGTAGACCAGGCTGGCCTCCAGAGATCCACCTCCAGTAAAGACTCTTAGGAGTATAGTTTTATATAAGCCGAGCCCAGAGTTAAGAGTAAGAAACTGGCCGGGCGGTGGTGGCGCACGCCTTTAATCCCAGCACTCGGGAGGCAGAGGCCGGCGGATCTCTATGAGTTCGAGGCCAGCCTGGGCTACCAAGTGAGTTCCAGGAAAGGCGCAAAGCTACACAGAGAAACCCTGTCTCGAAAAAAACAAAAAAAAAAAGTAAGAAACTGTCAGTGCCCCTAAGTGTTGTGTCGTTTGTGAGAGAGGCAAATAGGTAACTGTTTCTGGGGGAGTGTGGGTGCCCCTGTGTCCTGTGGTCTGTGTCAGACTCCTCTCCAGTTCATCACTACAGGCTGAGTATCTCTTTGTCTGAGATGAGAAGTGTTTTAGAATTCAGGTATTTTTGTTGTATGTTGGAATATTTGCATGTCCATAACTGGAGATTTTGGGATGGAGCCCAAGTATAACTGTGTAATGCACTTGTGTTTCACACATTTTCTACAAGACCTGAACATAACTTGATGCAGCCTTCAGGAAGCTCTGTTGCAGACAAGAAGTCATATCAGTCCTTTTTCAGTTTTTTTAATTTTTCATATACTATATTTTTGTCATAGTCTTTCCCCTCACCAACTCCTCCCAGATCTCCCTCCCTCCCACCCAACTTCATATTCTTTCTTAAAAAGCAAACTCAAGAACAAAAAGCACACACAGAAATACCCTCCCCTCCCCAGAGTCCGTTCTGTGCTGACAACTATCCCAGTGCATGGCCTGCTTTGGGTGTGGGCCATAGACTCGGTGGCACCCTATTGAAGAAGAGGGATTTCCCTTCCCAGCAATTATCGATTACAAACACAGTCTTGGCTGTCTTAGTTCTGATTCCTTTGAAGATACTTTTTTTTTTTCCAAAATGTTTTTCAGACATGTATAAATAGGTTTTGTTGTTTCGTTTTTTAAATACAGACTTGGCTTATGCCATGTAACTGCCATACCTGCAGGATTGGAGATTGAAGCCAGGGATTTCCACCTGCTCTACAAGCCTCCTTACCAACTGAGCCACATCTAGTCCATGTAAATGGTTTTTAGAGTATCTAGTTCTCTCCCAAGCTTTCAATCATCTCTTTTTTCTTTGAGTGTATTGAGTAGTTATTTTGAAGTCTGTTTGATAGCTTCATAATTAAAACTTTCACATCTATTTTTGTTGTAGACTGTTTCTCTTTTCTGTGATTTCCCCTCCCTGGTTGCCTGCTTATTTATCTGTCTGCTCTTTTGTTAGACATTCTAGAGTTCTTCTGTAGGCAGTTTGGGACAGTAGAACCGGCGCATGAATCCCTAGCTTCAGGTCAGGAGGTCAGATGCCTAGAGGTTGGGTAATGCCTGCTGCAGGGTGCTGCAACTTCAACCCGAATCGTCTGTTGTTGGCAAGCTGCTGTGTGAGAGGGAGGGAGGGACCCTCATGTGTTAGGAGTTAACAGAATCCCTGGCCTCAAACCAGATGCCAGTAGTGGCCCCTCCCTCCCACTCACATGCTAAGTATGATGGCTCTAAATATTCAGAGCTCTGAACGCTCTAACATGGATGTCACTGCTGGCACAGTCAGCCTCTTGAGAGCCGCTGATGATGATGCTCTTCAACTCAGAAGGGAGGCTGTCTCTGTGGCAGGCCCTGGACTCAGTTTTTGTCCAGTGCCTCTACTAGGCCAGCAAAATTAAGTCATTTGAGTTGGGTGTCTATCAAACTCAGTTACAGTAAGAATAGTACTTTGATACTTAGAATGTAATCTTATGCCAGATACTTATATAGCCCCAGCAATCCAGAAAATTCAGGTATGTGGCCTAGCTTGCTCCCTTATTAGATGAAAATGTTTCCTTTTTATCTGTTATCCTTTTATTTAGCTTTTCTCTAATGACAGCTAATCTGTGTCCCAGAGTCACAGAGACTTTGTAAACAATAGGTAACTGGTTCTATTGAATGAGCACAGGCTGTGGTCCTTTTCTAGGTCACCTACAATGGCTGGAGGATTGTTTGCAATGAATAGACAATATTTCAATGATCTTGGACAGTATGACAGTGGCATGGATATCTGGGGAGGAGAAAATCTGGAAATCTCATTTCGGGTAATTTTGATTTTGTGTGTGTTCTGTTATTAAATTTTCTGTAATGGAATATAATTGCAGTTTAGGGGCAAAGAGAACCTTCTGAGCAGGTGGGCCCCCATACCACCCATCTGGACCTGTCTGCAGAGTCCCCGTCAGCCCATAGCACAGTACTTATACATGTCTATTTATAATTTTGAAAACATACCACTATAGTGCTTTAAAGGGCAGTTTTTCTCCAAATTTTTTTTGGGTTGTAAGTTTATATAGATATCATTGGTTCAGTTTTCTTTTGTTCTCTTTCTTTTTCACAAAAGTAAATGAATCCCATAAATGGTAAAAGTATATACTCTCACACATGACACGACATGCATATATTTTAAAAGGTTCTTTAAAAAAATGAGTGTTTGCACAAGCACACACATGTGCTATGGTACTCATGTGGAAGCCATGGCCCAACTTACAGGAGTTGGTTCTCTCCTCCTGCCGTGTGGCTCCTGGAGATCGAACAGGAGCCGTCAGGCTTGGTGGCAAGCACTTCTGCTCCCTGAGCCAGCCTCCCAGCCCTGCCTGCAACCAAGTACTCTTGAATCTGAATCAATTGTATCATTTAGAAAAAAAGACTTTTTGGACTTGGGGAGATGGCTCAGTGGTCAAACCACTCTCCCTGCAAGCAAGAGTAGAGATGTCTGGGTCCTGAGAGCCCATGTAAACATCAGGTTGGCATGGCTGCTCATCTGTAGTTCTAGCCTTGGAACATAGACACAGGATTCCCAGACAAATTACTAGCCATACTAGTGAGCTCTGGGTTTGATTGAGACCCTGCCTCCAAAGGATGCAGTAGAAGAGTGGTAAAGGGGGACCCCCACCCCCTTTAAAAGATAGATTATTTATGTAGTTTATGTATATGGGTATTTTGTTTGCATGTTCATCTGCACACAAGAAGAGAGCATCAGATCCCACTATAGATGTGAGCCACCATGTGGTTGCTGGGAATTGAACTGAAGACCTCTGGAAAAGCAGCCGGTGCTCTTAACCACTGAGCTGTCTCAAGCCATCTCTCAGGCCCCAAGATTTCCAATATTAACCTTAGGCCTCAGTGTTCATTCTCATGCATGTGCACTGCATATGCAGGCATGCCACACATATGCAAACGTGTGCATATGCAGGAACACTGCACAAACATGTAAGAAAAAAGAGGTGTTTTCTTAGAAACAAAGTGTATAAAAGAAAGTACATGAGCCGGGTGGTGATGGCGCACCCTTTAATCCCAGCAATCGGGAGGCAGAGCCAGGTGGATCTCTGTGAGTTTAAGGCCAGCCTGGTCTACAGAGTGAGTTCCAGGACAGGCACCAAAGCTACACAGAGAAACCCTGTCTTGAAAAACAAAAACAAAAAAAACAAAGTACATGAAAAACAGAAGACCAGCTAATAAGCATAACTGTTTTCAAATCTTTAAGAGCAAGTCCATTAATGCAACAAAGAATGATAGCATAATTCAGACACATGGGAGCAAATGAATGTTTTCAGAATTGGTTGCCTTTTTAATTTCAGGAAGACCCAATTTTTAAACGCCCCTACTTTCTTCTGAGTAGATCTCATAGAGAAACACCTGTAAGTTGCATAGCCACCATTCATACAGGCTGGTGTGTGGGCTGCTTCTGTCTGAACTGTTGGTCGATGTCTGTTTGCTTCTGCCTAGATCTGGATGTGTGGCGGTAAGCTCTTCATCATCCCTTGCTCAAGAGTAGGACACATTTTCCGAAAAAGGCGGCCATACGGATCTCCTGAAGGCCAGGACACCATGACACACAACTCCCTGAGGCTGGCCCATGTCTGGTTGGATGAGTACAAGGTGAGTGTCTGTGTCTGTCACTCCACTCGTGCTTGTTCTTCTTGGCTGACCTTCACTGCTGTGCCATCTCTCTGGGCTTCTTTTCACCCAGGAGTCACTCGGTTTGGGTTCTCACCTGACTTCTGAGTGTGATTCGTAAGCATTGGAAGCAGCTCTGTTTTAGTGCAGTGATCCTTCTGTGCCCATCAGAGTTTGGAACTCCACAGAACTGGGCTGCACTTCCTCACCCACTGGACTTCACTGCTCACTCCAGATTCCTTCCCCATTGCTGTCCTACCTTATACAACTTTGTTTTCTTTGCAGAATCTTTATCAAGTATAATTTGCATGTTAATTTTAGAGCATTTTGTCACATCAAAAAGAAATACTGTACTTTTCATGTTTCACCTCTGACCATAGCTCTAGACAACCACATCTGTCTCCTGGCTCCAGTCTTTCCTAGACCTCTCACACATTTGTGCCCTTCTCTTTGACTTTCACTTGGTGTTTGTGTTTAGGCTGGGCAGTGTTGTAGCTGGTCTCAGCACTTCACTACTTCCCATTGCTCAGGGATACTCTATCCATCTGGCCATCACCTGGGCATTTGGCTTGTTTACACGTTAACTCTTAGGAAAATGCTGCTGTGATTATTTGTGTGCAGTTGCTACTGTCATTGAAATGGGTTGGTCTCGAACTCCATCCTTGTGCCTTCCTGCTCTGGGATTACTGGCATGCGTGCACTAGCGTGCCTGGCGAAGTACCTGAGCTCTTATTTTGGAGACAAAAGATGGATAAGAGGATGTACAGTAATTGCAACCCTGTGACGTAAAGGGAAATGGCAGCAGATGCCCAGGCTGTGAAGTGCTGAGGAGGGAGCTGGGAGCAGACAAGGGCTCATAGCATGCCAAGGTTCTGTTTGTCTCTATCCCTCTCCTAACTCAGAGCTCTGGGGATCAGCTCCTTGTGAATTGTTATCATCTGCGTGTGGCAGAGATCCCACAGTGTGGCTTGCTGACCTCTCGGTTCTGGCCACCCACTCAGGTTTGCAGGGTCTCACTCATTTCCATAGTCAGATGAATACAGACACTTAATGCACTTGCTGTGTAGACACTGCATGCCTGAGCGAAGAAGCACCAGCTGCTTTCCTGTAAGAACTCCATTGAAGAGACAGCAATCACCTAGTCGGAAGGCTTGTCAGTAGTCATGTGACCGCTTCATGTGGAGTACAGTCATGTGAGCTGAGTGCTGAACTACACTGTTCTCCATGGGCCCTTGCATATGACACTGAACAGCTTCTCCAAGTGAGCCAGGGCTTGTAAGTGATAAAACTCAACTCTTTAACAGCAGGGCTTGCTATCCCAGGCCTTTAATCCCAGGAGAGGCAGCTGGTGTTTCAAGGCCAGTCTTGTGAGTTCCAGGCCAGCCAGGGATACACAGTGAGACCCTGTCTCAAAAACAAAACAAAGCCGGGCGGTGGTGGCGCACACCTTTAATCCCAGCACTCGGGAGGCAGAGGCAGGCGGATCTCTGTGAGTTTGAGGCCAGCCTGGTCTCCAAAGTGAATTCCAGGAAAGGCGCAAAGCTACACAGAGAAACCCTGTCTCGAAAAAAACCAAAAAAAAAAAAAAAAAAAAAAAAAAAAACCAAAAACCAAAAACAAAACCCCCCATCATTATGAGCTTGAAAGTGTGCCACTATGTAGCTTTTCGGATGAAATCATAAATTATTTTATTGTATAGTGAAGTGTGTCAGCATGTTGAAGAACTGCACAGCCATAGACCAGTGTTTTTCAAGTAAGTAGTACATGTTATAAAAGCCTTGCATGTGTAAAAAGAACATTCCAAGAGGAAGCAAGAGCAAATGGGAATCTCACTGGTATGATTTCTTATTTTCTATCATAATTAAAATATCAAAGTTACTGAGTTATAGGCTAGACATGCTGCTGTGTAGTGGTCCCAGCACTGGGGAGGCTGAGGCAGGACTGTTAATTAGAGGCCATTCTGGGCTGTGTGCTTATACTGTATCAGAAAATTACAAATAATTTATTATATTAAATATTTAATACAAGAATAGCCATAATTATTTGTAATAGCTTTGAAAATACTCCTTGTGTTTGAACTACATTTTTTCATGAGGTATTTTAAAGCAGTGAGATGGCTGAGTGGTAAATATGCTTGCTGCACAGGTCTAGCAATCAGCTTGATCCAGAATCCCACCCAAAAGTGGAAAGAGAATCAACCCCATAGAGTTGCCCTCTGACTGCCACAAATGCATCAAGGCACGCACCCCCACCATGTATCAGGGTAAATGTACATATGAGCCACATAAGAAAAGATGAGTTTCTAGACAGTGGTGGTGGTGGCACACACTTTCAATCTCAGCACTCAGGAGGCAGAGGTAGGTGGTCCTCTGTGAGTTTGAGGCCAGCCTGGTCTACAAAGCGAGGTTAGGACAGCCAGAGCCACACAGAGAAGTTTCCTGTCTTAAAAAAAAAAAAAAAAAAAGGTTTTACTAATGAATTAAAAAAATTAAAACTGTTGGTTTTTTGTTTTTGTTAGTAATACTGTTTCTAAGATAGGGTCTTACCATGTAGTCTTGACTGGCCTGGAGCTGCTACATAGACTGGGCTGGTTTTGGACTCAAAGATCTGCCTACCTCTGTGTCTTTAGTGCTGAGATTAAAGGTGTGTGCAGCCATGTCTGGGTCAGTTTTAATTTTAACATGGTTGGTATCCATGGAATCCTGGATCTTCAGCTCATGTTGAGAATAATAGAGGTCAGAGTTTGAGTCACTCATCTCACACATAATCTATTGTCTTAGTGTTCTTTTGCTGTGAAGAGACATCATGACCAAAGCAACTTCTATAAAGGAAAACATTTAGTTGTTTAAATTAAAACAGTTCAGAGGATTGGTCCATTATCAGGGCGGGAAGCAAGGCAGCATGCAGGCAGACATGGTGCTGGAGAAGAAGCTGAGGGTCCTACATCTTCTTGCAATAGGAAGTCAACTGAGACACTGGTGTCTTGAGCCCACCTCCACAGTGACACACCTGCTCCAACAAGGCCTCACTTCCTAATAGTACCACTCCCCTGGGGGGCCATTTTCTTTCAGACTACTATATCCACTGAGTTAGATTTTCCTCCAATTTGTCCTCTGTGAAATCAAATATATCTTGAGTTTGTTATGGTTAGTGACAGGCATGTGGAAAGTTCCTGTTGATATTTTGACATTAAGAAAACACAAGACTGTGTTTTCCTCCAAGAATGTGTAATATATTTCCAGCAGCAAATTCCATTTTTCTTTCTTTTAAACTTAGGAGCAGTATTTTTCCTTAAGACCTGATTTGAAGACCAAGAGTTTTGGAAATATCAGTGAGCGTGTTGAATTGAGGAAGAAATTGGGCTGTCAATCATTCAAGTGGTATTTGGACAATATTTACCCTGAGATGCAGATACCTGGCCCGAACGCCAAACCTCAGCAGCCCATCTTCATCAACAGAGGGCCCAAGCGCCCCAGGGTCCTTCTGCGTGGACGGGTGAGGCAGCAGCAGTCCTATCTGAGGGTTCCACTGGGAGGGGCAGAGCAGGAAAGTTTTCTGAGGTCCTGTGATAAATCTAGATTTAGCTCAGATTTAATTTCATTTTTGAGGGGATTTCTCTCTTCTCTAGTAGAAAAGCTTACAAATTTTAATGTGTTTGCTGTTTACACCCAGGTCAAGATCCTGTACTTACTGCCTTGAAAGTGACAGTTAAGTTGGTGGGACATGCAGTGAGATTTCACACTCAACGCACTGGCAGTCTTCAGAGCTTAGCAGAGGGCACACTGTGGACCCTTTCTAATTGCACTTAAGGCTTAGGGGCCTGCTGTCCTGAGCTCTGAGTAATTTCTAAAACTGGCATTCTGGAGGCTGGGGAGATGGCTCAGCTGATAAAGCACTGTGCAGCTCAGTGTGAGGATTGGAGTTTGGAGCCTCAGAACCCATGCAGACACTGGGCAGTTGTGGGGGTCCACTTATAATTCCAATGCTTGGGAGGCAGAGCCTGGATCATTAGAGTAAGTCCAGTGAGCTTTGGGTTTATTTGGTAGACCTTGCACCTCAGTGAACAAGGGGGAAAGCTTGCACAAGCATGCACCCCCCCTCCCCCACCCGTGCAAACACACACACAGACAGAAAGCTGGTGTTCTTGTGGGTTTCCCTCTTTAAATTCCTAAGGCCCATCTTCCAACTTTTCTATTTCAGAATTGAGCCTAGTACTTTCCTCCCTGTTTACTTTATAAAACCCCAAACAACCATCATGATGTTTATTTGGTGTTTTTCTTAAGTAAAAAGAGATATTTTGTGCCTATATAGTTGAAATCCCTTCCAGCATAATTCTTGATCTTGGTATCACTGTTGGAAGGTCTTGGTGGTTCTGTATATCCAAGTCAGCATATACATAGTATACTTAAAAAAACACAAAACTGAAAAAAAAAATGTCTAAACAGGGTTTTGCTATGTAGCCCAGGCTGGCTGGCCTCAATTTCATGATCTGCCTGCTTCAGCTCCATGAGTGCTTTGGTTACAGTCCTAAGTCACCATGCCTGGCTTTATTTCCTGGCTTCCTCTTAGCTCCTGGGTTCTTATTTGGGACTGTGGAACAGCATTTCCACTCCAGGCACACATCCCCCAGGCACCAAGATGTCTGCATGGAAGTCCTCAAGAACACGGTTTTGTTTTGGTTTGTTTTTTTTGCAGCTCTACCATTTGCAGACCAACAAATGTCTGGTAGCCCAGGGCCGCTCCAGCCAGAAAGGAGGCCTGGTGCTGCTTAAGGCCTGTGATTACAGAGACCCAACTCAGGTGGGTGATGCCGCCCAGTGCATAGGCACTCTGGGGAAGGAAGCACATGTGGGCAGACTGTGGACATGAGGTGTTTAGTGCTGTGACTTTTCTTAAGTTGTAGGTTACAGATGACTTTAGAGACCATTTGAAACAACTGCTTCTGTCTTCTCCGTGTTCCTCTGCCTCTGGTCATTGCTTGTCAGTTGTAAGACCTTCGTGCTTTTTACTGTGGTGTAGGGAGTGGTCTTCTTCAAACCTGAAGTCCTCAGTAGATGAACCAGAGTCAGATTTTCCTCCCCAGTTTTTACATCTCATTAAAGGACACCTCAACAGAGTTCATTGCATCCACTCTATTTTAGGTAGTCTTTTCCATATTAAAAATGTAAGCAGATAACATTTCAGTTTGTCACTGTCATTTCAGGATTACTTATATGACACCATAGCCTAACAGTGAGTGATTTCAACTCACAGCTGTCAGGACTGGTCTGCGTTGATTGTACTCCATTTTGGCGATCACACAGGAATGGAAAAAAATACCTGGGCCTTTTGATAAATAGAATGTATACTTGCACATTTCTAGAATATGCTGCCTTAAAACATCGATTTATTACCTGAGTGGGCACACATGGAGGTCAGAGGACATGCTGCCGCAGTCAGCTCTCCTCTCTGATCACAGGGGACAGGAATGGCACTTAGGTCATCAGGCTTGGCAGCAGGCCGTTCCTGCACTGGCCCATTCAATGGCTTTAAATGTACCGAGTTGTGGCCATGCAGGATTACACTGATACTATAGCTACTTAAAGTATAGTAAACAGTCCAGTTCCTCAGTCGCACTGGTTTCTCAAGTGGTCAGTGCAGGGTCTGCCACACAACAGCCCAGGATTCAAGCAGGGCTTTCTAGTACCTGTGGGAGAGTGTCTCAGTACATCTGTACTCATCCTATTTGAGGCTTGGGCCAGAACCCAAGATTATTTGCATTCACACCCAAGGGAAACCCTGCTTCAGGGTGGCCCAGGTGAAATCTGCCATCTCACAGCAGACATCCTGGAATTGGGGTGTGATATTCTGTAGAAGGGCTGGAACAGCTTATGCACGTCGTCACCCAGCAGATGAGGACTGTGGTAAATAATCAGCTTTATGTGCACTTGCCCACACCTCTTGTGGCTCCTTGGAGCTTTACAGGTCTGTGAATTAAGAGAATTCTGTCACCAAACCCTAAAACTGAAAATGATTTACAATGACATGATCACTTGAATTAGTTAAATTAGTGTACCATTGTCTGGGTTTCTCCTGGATAACACTGTGTTAAGTTGGCTGAGAGGAGAGGCTTTGCTTTGGAAGGCTTTGTCCATGGTTGATGTTCACCTTGCCACAGCAACCATGGTGGGAGCAAATGACAGGAAGTCCCTTCTACCACCTGTCCAGGAATGAAAGGGAGAAGAGGACAGTATACCTCAGTCCCCTTCAAGGACACTCCCTAGTAAACCAGAGACATCTCTTTAGGCCTCCCTCATCTCCCAGTTCACTCTTTCAGATTGTTGAGGAAGTGCTCTGACCAGTGTGTCTGCTGTGGAGACCATAGAGAGCGCATTGTGAAGTGTTATTCAGGCCTTCTTTCCAGTACTTAAGATAACACTTGTTTTTTAAAACCCTTTTCTTTTTTCTTTTTTTTTTGTCACTAGATCTGGATTTATAATGAAGAGCATGAATTGATTTTAAACAACCTCCTTTGCCTTGACATGTCAGAAACCCGCTCTTCAGACCCACCCCGACTCATGAAGTGCCATGGGTCAGGAGGATCTCAGCAGTGGACCTTTGGGGTGAGCAGCTTGACATAAACATGGGCTCTAACTAGCCCTGATTCTTCTACATCTTTCCTGCATGCTGCAAGAATGTTTGTTTTAAAATAAAAGCAGGTCCTTTTTTTCTTGCCTTTTTTTTCCAGAAGAACAATCGGCTGTACCAAGTGTCTGTTGGACAGTGCCTGAGAGTGGTGGACCTGATGGATCAGAAGGGCTCTGTTGGCATGGCAATATGTGATGGCTCTGCCTCCCAACAGTGGCGCCTAGAAGGTTAAGATGGAGACAACATAATTCACCAGGTTTTGTCACACCTGCCATAAATCATGGTGCTTTATGAAGGATGCTGCTGACCCCAACAGACAAGACCCCTGGTGGAAGGTGACCATCACAGGAAAAGAAGGTGCTTCACTGGGACTTGGGTTATTTCTGAGCTGCTGCTAAGGCATTCTTGTTTATCCAGGGAAAACAGAAAATAATAATTCTAAAAAGTTGGGTCTATTAGTACAAACCCAGGAAGCAGACATTTCTATTTATTTATGCTTCTCTTGGAGATGGAATGGTTTCTTTCTAATCAGGAACTTGTCACAGTTTCCTTTCATAGAGGACTTCATAGGAGATTTTTTTCTACTATCATTTGTTTAATGTTCCTAATAGATTTTAAAACTAGTTGAATGCATATTACTTTTAGCTTCAGAAGGTATCATGTATATTCCAGAGGCATTTAACTATTATAAATTATTTTGATGACTTAATAGGCTGTCTACATTAAATAAAGGATCTTTTTGATCATTTGACTAGGATTTATGCCTATTCCATCTTCTGTGGTCTGGATGACCTGGGAATATGATGGGAAATACTTCATGAATGGGCTGATAACCCATTAAGCTAGACGGCAGTTGCTAACTTCAGGAAGTGGCAGTTCCTTAGCTTGCCTGAGTGAATTTGAATACAACAGTTTGCCTGTGAAACTCTCTTCTAAGAAGAAGTATCTCAGCTATATAAAGAATTCATAAAAGTCTGCAAATACTCAAGCACGAAAATACGAGGTGATTCCCCCGCCCCAGATTTCTATTTCTTAGGTATAATCTCATATTGCAGACGCTTGGTGATGTTATCTTAAAGCACAAAGCCATTTAAACCAAGTATTTTACCTGTCAGACTTCAAAGACTAGGAAGTAAAAGGCTGTGAGTGAATTTAAACCCAGCAAGAGCAATGACCACGTTAAATCCTATTACCTAAGGTTTCCTTTAGAAGGTTAGACTGGATAAGAATGCAAGACCTACAATGCAGGCTACCTACAAGAAGCTCACTATAAAAATGAACAGAAGGGCAGACATTATAGTGAATGAACTTTATCCACCCATCTGATAGTAGCTGTTAACATAAGGTAGAGTAGATTTCTACTAGGGGTAGGAAGAGAGTTCTTTCCCTATGACAAAAACGAAGTAATCCCAAACACTTATACAGCTAATAGCTTCTAAATACATGCTGCCCAAAACTAGAAACTTGTCAAGTATATCTCTCTACAGTTATAGTGAGACATTCCAGCATGCCTTCCAAAACCTGATAGACACACAGGACACTGACACCTTGACAATACATAGTACTGCTAACACCAGAACTCATGTTCTCATGTACACATGACCATATGTCAGGTAGACTACAGTCCAAGGTGTCAGATAAAAATCAACTATAATACCTTCAAACAGTTTGAAACTGATTCACTTTGTCTTTGTGGGTCAAAGACAAAATTAAAATGTTGTTTTAAAATGTCCAAAGATGAAAACAGCAGAATGTGTATGCTACCAAATTACTTAGAAATTTTATAAGTACTAGTCACCTGTAATAGAGATTAATTTCTTAGGGAATCCTACCTTAGACGGGAAAAAAGTAAATTGAAGCTCAAGGCAGAAGTAAATATGAACTGTCAGAAGAGAAATGAAATAGGAGCCAACAGAAGAAAGACTTGAGGCATCAGCAAGAATGGGGACCAGCCCAGTGAAGAGGAACTCATTTGTTGGGGCCATAGCAGAGTACAGCTCTGCAGAGGCGGGTGGTCTTAGAAACCAGACTATTCCTTGCTCTTCAGCCAAGGGACTCAAACTGTCCACCCAGAAGGCTGCACTCAGACGTTCACAGCAGCCTTTATTTATTGCCCAAACTGGAAAAAAGTGGCAAAAACAGTTTGGTATAGGATATGATAAAAGCTCAACAAAAACTAGGGAGAGCCGCTCTGAGAATGGAGATGAGAGAGCTAGAAGGAACACTGGCCTGTCGCCGGACTCTCAGCGGGGGAGAACAGTACAGCATGTCTACCAAAGGGCTTCGTGAGGCGCTCAGGAAATTCGGAAAACCACGTACGGGCCCCAAGACCTTGAGGTTCCCCGGCATCTGATCGATTCCTTGCTCGCACGCTGTTTCTTTGAGGCACACGCTTAATGAGTGCCATCGTAAAGATGACTTGAATTTGAAATGAGGTTGTACATCTCGGGATGTTTATCTGTTTAGAATTCTGGACCCCCGGGCTATTTGTTGCTCTGTACAAGGTACCAACCATCATTACCTCTGATGGTACAATTTTAATCTGCACAAAAGTGTTGGTGGAAGGATGGGGAGAGCTAGAAGTGGAAGGAAAATTCCTCAAAGTATATTGATAGGTAACCTCATTTGATGTGAAAGTAATCTTGTGCAAAAGGAAAGGATACTGTACTATCTCATATAGTCAACTTAGGAGCCTTATGCTCAGGACCCTACCCAGGGCAGTCCAGCAAGAAGACAAGCATGGACTTGGGAAATGAAGCAAAAGTATCTTCATTTGCAGAATATGACCAAGTATGCAGAAAAAATCATAGAAAGTCTCCAAAAATACTCCACAGACTGTTCCTGGACACAGTGATCCATGACTTGTCAATCTCACAGAAGCAGAAATGCATACCCATGCATTTTGTATTTGCAAATAAAGTATTCAGGCCAGACAGCATGGTAGTGCAGAGGCAGGTGGATCTCTGTGAGTTCACCACCAGCCTGTCTGTCTACATAGTAAGTTTCAGGCTAGCCAGGGTTATATAATGACACACACACACACCCCCTTTGCAAAAACCAACCAACCAACCAACCAAATATGTAGTATTCAATGCATTACTTGATATAACCAACACATTATAGAATGGGCTTGCTCTGTTCAGGAATTTTGCCTAAAAGGCTAGGTGTATTAAATGCACTTTCAAGAGGGCTTATCCCGACATGGCTCCATCGTCAGTCAAAGAGCATCTGCACGTTACAGACTTTATGTAAGCCACAAAAAAGGGGAGCATAAGTGCATGCTGTACATATGTGCAGCACAGTTGGAGACTGAAGTGGGGGGGGCACTGTGGCTACAGTTTGCAACAGCACTAAAAGTATGGGACACAGAACAGACTAAGGCTAATATGGCATGTTCTGGGGGTGCAAAACTATTCTTCATCAAAGCTCCAGATGGCCTTTTTAGGTGATAAAATAATTTGAAAAGACAGAATTCTGGAGGACTTACACCAATTCAAGATCACTGTGCTACTGACTTAAGGGCAAGGAACCGACTATAAGAAAAAACAGGCCAGTGTGGCTAAGTGACAGTCAAGGAGCTAGTTCAATGCCTGAAGGAAACTGAAAGTCTACACTTGCTCCAGGGATTCCCCCTCGACCTTCCATACACTGAGAAGACACACAGACCTCTGCACTCACCTGCCTTTTACATGAGTCCTGGGACTGAACACTAGGCCTCATGCCTGTACGCCAAGCACTTTACCTGCTGAACCATCTCCCTAACTCCAAATCTGCACATTTTACTAGAAGAACTGCCTATATCTGAACAAAACTGAACCTTAATTCTCTCCATCCTTGACTGAACACAAATTTATTTCAGGACAGATACAGATCTGAACAAACCATGAAAAATAAAGCTTTTGGTGAAAAATGCAGAGTATCTTCAAGATTTCAGTGTAGGCAAAGACTTGCCAAATAACACACTAACCTTAAACTATTAACACAATGGGACTTAATCAGAATTAAGCACCTGTTCAAGACAGAATGAGAAAATGAAAAAGCCTGAGACTTGTATTCCGTCTCCAGTGTTTTACAATGCACAAAAGAACTGATTGAACACTTAAGGTGGGAGGGGTGTATATACACAGTTAATCCTATGAAAAGTTGCTCAATGACACAGCCATTGATGAAATGCAATCCAACCACATCAGATGCCATTTTACATGCATTAACATAAATGGAAATACATGGAAATGTGAGATGTGGAGATGGGTGGAGACGGCAACAAAGGCTGCAGAGTATGTCTTACTTAGGTCTCCTCACCAATACCCACAGGAGCCAGAGCAACTAGTACATAATGTGACAAGACAAACTAGCTCATTAAAGGAAAGAATTTGACAAGCAGTTAACTTCTTCACTGAGTACACTGGTGGAGCCATTCCCCTTATGGCTAGAATGTAAGACAGATGCAGATTGAGCTCTCACAGTCTTAAATTTTCTACCACCTTCCAAGTAACACCAGGGTAGACTAGGGCCTCCTACACATGGAGTCCAAACCACAGCAGGCAGAAGCTCTCTTCAGACTAGGTCATGGGGACTGAAGGACAGCATTCCTGAGAGAGAAGCCCTCATGTCATCCAGAATTCGTCCTGGAGCCTAGGAGCAGATTGGTAGGGTTGCTTTGAAGAAAACAAGTCTTGGTATGAGGCTTCCATGGGGCCACTGAGTGTGAGCACATTGCCAGCCTCCTGTGTGTCAATCTTGGAAGCAATGCTTGGTAAATGGTCACCATACTGGGGTGATTTGTAAGAGCAGAAAGGAGAAAGCAGAGGAGAGCTAGGGATGGTGTGTGTGTTGGGGGGGGACTGAATGGCTTGGGAGTTTGTGAGTAAAGCTAGGCATATATCCCAAGAGGAATTTAAGACTGTGCAGTTGGTAAAGGGTCCATCGAGGAAAAGGAAGCAGAGTACTTACTTTATTTTTGTGGCTAGAATGAAACTGGGTTGGAAGAATTCTCTAGAAAGCAGCATTCAAAACGTGAGCCCTGTTCTTCAGAACAGAGAAACTTCAAAACCCAAACCAAGAGCACTGCACAAGGAGATGCAGACACCTGTGCAGCCAGCCACTCTAGGGAGACCTCTGCACACCACGTACAAGCTTAACAATCAAGACTAGACAGCAGACAGGGCTGGCAATAGACCAGAGGACTAGAGGAGGAAGTCAGGTTCCATTTCATTAGGGAAGTCTCAAGGCACCTTTAGTAGTGACAGGTGACATTTTTCAGCATGGTGCTAGGCTCCCCCATCCATGGCAGGCCACTGGCTTGGGTATCCAGAGCACACAGAAAGAAGCAATGTTAGTCTGCTCACTTGGTAGGGAACCACTCTGCTTGGCATCTGTCTGGGGTCCTTGGTATGCAGCAAAAACTTTTAGTTTGTTGGATGAGGGGGGCTCAACTCAGGAAAGCAGGGTGGTCCATAAACAAGGGTTAGAGACAAGTTTAAAGGAACAGTGGTCAACACTGTCACTTAGTATAAGGAACTGAAGAACGTAAAGTGAAACTGTTGTTATAGAGACAGCTCTGTGATGCTGGGCCCACTGTGCCCCAAAATGTTTGCATTCGGTACATGGTGCCAAGTGTGTAGCCAAAGAATTACAAGTAGCTGATGCATTTGACCAGCCTGGGCCAGCATGGAGCTGAGGTCTTGAGACTGCACCTGTGACTTAGGACTCACCGTGAGGGTTCAGAGTTGGAACCCAAGTGGCCATGGAGAACAC